ATGTGTGTGTGTGTGTGTGTGTGTGTGTGTGTGTGTGTGTGTGTGCGGCTGTATGTCTGTGTAGAGTGATTCCTCGATAACGGTAGCACGTATCGTGACGGGGTTTGGCTTATTTTGTTCGTTATTATGTAAGGATGAAGCCAGAAAATTGTATTTAGCGATAAAGGAAGAAAAAAAAATTTTTTTTCGATTTTTAAAAATTTTTGGAAATTTTTTTATGTCTGTGTAGAGTGATTCCTCGATAACGGTAGCACGTATCGTGACGGGGGAGGGCTTTTTTTGTTCGTTATGATGTAAGGATGAAGCCAGAAAATTGTATTTAGCGATAAACGAAGAAAAAAAATTTTTTTTTCGATTTTTAAAAATTTTTTTTTACGGGAAAAATTTTTTTTGCGGGAAATTGTCGTTTTCTTCCTTTTGCTCCCTCATATAGGAAGTTTTGTGATGGGATACATTTAGGCTTTCGTATATAATTATCGTAGGATATATTTAATGATATTTCTATATACTAGATCGAATTTTTGACACATTTTGGAATGTATGTGGGTGTATGCGGCTGTATGGCTGTGTAGAGTGATTCCTTGATAACGGTAGCACGTATCGTGACGGGGGAGGGCTTATTTTTTTCGTTATGACATAGGGACGAAGCCAGAAAAATTCATTTATCGATAAACGTAACGTTTTTTTTTCTATTTAAGAAAAAAATTTTTTTTTTTTTGCATTGTTTGTTTGAGATACCCGATAAAGCTGAGAGGCGCTTTCGTTTCGCTTTCGTAATTAGAAAGATGATATTAATATTTTCAAATTATTTTTAAGTTAAAAAAAAAGTATGAGGAAGCTACTTGCCAATACATTGGCAGCGGTTTTTTTTTTCTTAATTACATTTGAAGTCTCGGACTCAAACGTCGAAACGCCAGCGAGCGAGACGCAATCCCCACCACTTGACAACGTAGAAATTACGGCTTTAACTTTGTACGGTTTTTTTCTTGTTAAGATTTCGAGAAATCAAAATTATCAATATGCCATAGTAAAATATAATTATTTAAGAATGTAACCCCGTTGGTTTGATTCATTAATTGTTTATAACAACGAAGCAATGATTTTTGAATAAAAAATACCTATTTTTGTTAAAAAAGCACTTAGGCAAGTTTATTTTTTTTTTAAATCTGCGTTTTAATGTCAGCTATTGAACAAAAAAAGAATTATCCGGCTAACTATTATAATTGACTCTCTGCATCTATTTGTTTATAACTTAAAAAGTACCAAATTTTCATCGCATTGTTTAACGTATGTTTTTTCGATTTTCCGTCTAAAACTTTTTGCTACGTATAAGTACAAGTATTCAACTTTCATTTGCGCGTCGAACGGACTCGCTATTGTTGCTAACAATCGAGATATCGCCTAGGGCCGAGGGAGTGTTTTTATAAACAAATGACTGTTTCTCGAAAACTATAAGTCCGATTTCAACTTTTAAAAGCTCATTTTTTTTCGCAAAAAGACCTACATTTTGATGTAATGCAAGTTACGATTAAACTGAAATTGTTTATAGCAAATGCAATTGAAAAAATAGCCATTTTAGAGGGTTTTTTGCACTTTTCTCGGTAAATAATTAACGCAATTGATCGTGGTCGGGCTCAAATTAAAGGTCTAATTAATAGCTACAACTTTTAATTGAACCTTTTTTCGATTCCCTGCTGAAAAATCTCATTTGAGATCTCACGCCAAAATCTCAAGATGAAGAAAATCTGTAAAACTGCTTATCTGTTTGAAACAACAACGCTGATAAATATGATAAGAAATAACTCATTCATGATTCAGTTCCTATAGAATATTAATTTATTGCAAACCTTTTTTTATTTATATTTATTTTCATCAAACGGAAATTCGATGAACGTTTAAGATAACTGGAAGGAATCGTAAAAAATGTATAGTTTCTCTATTACATTTTGAATTTTTTATACTTACACGAATCACCTCCTAAAGTACAAAGGTACAAAAGCTCGAAATTCAATATACAATAATACTCAGAACCTTATCAGATTTCCCACGCTTCTTTACTATCGTACGATAAAACATTGTATACCACGGACTTGACGGACATTTTTTTCCAATTTACATACAATAAAAAAGGACAACAATTTTGAGGATTCGCCGCATTCGATAAACACAATATCGTCGGCCGACACTCTGCAGAAACGGGACGCGGATGTAGCCGTAGCGGATCCCGCTTTTCTAGGGTACTTAGGGCGCTTCTACATAAGATTTTCGTCTGAGTTTCGTACTCCGTTCGGACGCATCGGACGGATAGTGCCAACTTCGAATAATAAATATTCCTTCTATTGTATTTTATTCTATTGTGAGGTTTTTGTGTAACCCCCTCTGAGACGGGGGGGGGGGGNGGGGGGGGGGGGGGGGGGGGTCTTTCTGGCCTAAATCACTATTCTATCGCGGACTCTCGGGCTAAAATCCAATTTTGTGAAAGTCATTCCTCAAAACCGAAAGCTATAAGCATAATGTTTTTAAGGAGGCTCAAGCGCGTGTAGCTGTCCTGCATTCGTGCGCTCTACGCGTCGTGCCTCTTGCATCTACGCATTGACCGCGATTGCGTCGCGCCTAGTGCGCACGTCTGCTACGGTTATAGTGTTGATACACTTTATACATAGTCGAACACGCGGGTAATTATCTACGCGTGTCTACGCGTAGATAAGCACTCTTTTCACAAGTAATTTAAAAAAAGAATAGAGCTCTCTATTGTCTAGAGCCTAAAGATCGATTAATTTTGAATGTTCATAAAAATGACTTCCAAGGCTCCTTGATAGTAAAATATTAAAATGTTAAATTTTTTCAAAATTGAAATGTAGAAAAAGACAAATTTCATTCCAATTTTAATTTGTATGTGTCCTTTTTTAAAAAAAAGGTTTCCTGAATAAAAATATCAAAGAATTGTTTAAAAAACACTCTCAAATTACTTCGGAATTTTAAGAAATGATTCTGGATTCTTTGGAAAAATCGAAAAATCTTAATTCGCAGAACCTTGTTGAGTGCCCTTTGAACAATTTATAAAAACTATTTATTATAAGAGTTTATAATTACATGAGAGGCATTGTTCACAATATCTATTGGATATTTATTGCCAATTTGGATTCCAACTTGAAGCACACCAATTCTAGTCGATTCGTATAAACCGATATTGAACAATTCCAATATTTAGATCGTCGCGCAAAGTAGAAATTTAATAGTCTGAGTTTGGTGATTTTGAAATTTTTAATTTTATCTATCGAATATAACTGGGTGATTTTAATGGTTGTCCACAATAATAACGCACAATTTTGTAAGCTTAACTAATGCAATGGGAAGGAAACTTTATTGCAAGTCTATGGTCGATTGTGTTTACTGTTTTGTTTCTTCGTTTCTCCCGCCAACTCTCTCGCATTGCGTAGTGGTGCGGAGAGTAGTTGAAGGGTAAGATATACGCATTTCACGCCGACGTGAGAAAAAGCTCTGTAACAGCTAAAAATCTATTATCTCTTATAGCTCCTTGAATAATTATTTTACATAATTAAGTAAAATCCCTTTGAACTAAGGCACGACCTGGAGAGAAAAATTAATTTTGTACCTGCGATACGAGATAAAAAATTAGCAGTTTATCGCCTCGAGCTTTTGAGCTTGTGTAGTGTGTATTTATCAAGCTTTAAGTAAAACCTGGTTTTGTCATGCTGTCAAACAGCCCACCTCAGGCGCTAAAGGAATTACTACGTCCATTTACGCAGTCGAGTTCATCTCAGATTGTGGTTAAGATTCAATTATTGTAACTGTCCTACTGAGCCGGTCAGACTTCGTTCTTCTCTCTCTACTAGGGTACGATCGTTATCTGTAGATTTCAACGGTTGTATTTGCATAAAATGTTGTTATACGTGCGAATAAAATGAAAAAAGGAGATAATTTCGACTCCTGAATTCTTATTTATGGGTCAGATTCAGAATTTTGTAATTCAGAATTTTTTAAACAATGATTTAATATATATATTAAAACTATATAGTGTTTATGTCAGTACAATTATTTAGACGTAATTTTATGGCTGCGATCTACTTTTCATTTGTTTATACACGTTTTTCGCTAACATAAGTCATTGAAATAACATCAAATTATTGAAAGTACATCAATAAACAAAAAACTTAAGATATTTCGCAATGTAATCGGCCAAGTAGACGCCAAGTGACAGCACGTGTACAGTTCACGATATCTCGGCGCGCACTTACTTTGAACGCTTGCTTGTTTTCACGTCAATACTCTAAAAAAATAAACTCGGTTTCAGATTAATCTTTGAGATGCTCTAGATTGAGCTAGGAGGACTCGATTGAAAAAATGGAAAGATCAAAATGTATTAAAATTTGACAAGGAATTATTTTAATTTTTTTTTTTTTTTACATTTTTCGATTCGCTGAAACCGAATTTATTTCTTTAGAGTTTGGACGTGAAAACAGGCAAGTATTCAAAGTAATTAAAGTGCGCGCTGAGATATCGAGAACTGTACACGTGCTGTCACTTGGCGTCTACTAAGTTATAGAGGCTGAATGATAAAAAAGGAGATATATCTATGAATTTTGCATTAATTATTGTATAACTTTTTTTCTAATGAACGGATTTCCAATTAATACACGTCAATCTCTTTGTTTTTCAGAAACTAATAAAACTATAACGAATTGTTTCAATCCATCTTCAATAGTTTACAAGATGTGGCCGCAACCCAAAAAGCGTAGAAATCTGTCAACTAGCCGCGTGGATCTCGCAAGAATGCTCAAATGTCACCAGTGCCAGGACTAATTTCACCTGAAAGTTTAAAGCTCTTGAAAAATCTGAAAAATTTTAAGGTTTTTCAAGATTTTTCTACTTTCGTATCTTTTTCAATGATTTGAATTTCGCGCCCGGCGGCCATTTTGAATTGCTGACATGACACGATGCGTGCGTCGCGTATGTAGTCAGTTTGTTTAATGCTACATAGTAACGAGCAGTCGCCAATAACTCAGAATTCAGATTAGAGTTTTTTCTGTGGCCAAGATACGTGCATCACTGTTTACATCATAATAACATATCCGTTCGTCGATTTAGGACGATAGAACTTAACTGTTTTTGGCCAGTGATAGATTATACCAGAGAAAATGACGACTGCAGCGAGACCAACTTTCGATCCAGCCCGTGGTGGACAGGGAAGAGGAGAAAAAGATTTGAGTGCAATATCAAAACAATACAGCAGCCGGGATTTGCCCTCCCACACAAAATTGAAATTCAGGTATTATTTATTTCATTGATTTTGTAAATGTTCAATTGTTCAATTACCAGCATAGAATCATTGATAATGAATGTTATGAATCAATTGTAGGGAACAAGGCCAGGGTACCACAGAAGAACTTGCTCAGCGAGACTTCAGAAAGGAGCTGGAGGAGAGAGAGCGCGAAGTCAAGGAAAAAACAGGTGGCCGTAATAGGATGGCCATAGAAGCTGCACCTTCTATGAAAGAACCTGCTGCTCCGCCAAGTAAAAGGCAGAAATTAGAAGTACCAGCTGCAAGTCTTGATGCGGATGATCCGCTGGACGAGGATGATTCAGAAGTTGAATCTGATGATGATGATGACACCGAAGCTCTAATGGCCGAGCTCCAACAAATCAAAAAGGAGCGTGCAGCAGAGGCAGCTAAAAAGGTAAATATTTTTTTTTTTCATGATTGTCATGGTTGAAAGCTTCTTTAACATCAGATTGATATTAATTTGTATCGTCTTCCAACAGGAATCCGAAAAACGACAAGAAGAAGAAAGGATTAGGATGGAAAATATCATTTCAGGTAATCCACTTCTCAAATATGCAGCTCAGAGTGGTCGCACAGATATGAAAGTTCGTCGCAGGTGGGACGACGACGTAGTTTTCAAAAACTGCGCTCGGTCAGAGCCCAAGAATAAGAGCAATACATTCATAAATGACTCCCTTAGAAGCGAATTTCATAGGAAATTCATGGAAAAATATGTTAAGTGAATGGTGAAAATCTATTTGCACGAGGCTGTCATAATTAGAAATACTTTCATTTCAATTATCAAAATCATATTTTTTATGCTAGCATATTAGATTTTAAGTCTGTAAATATTAATAAATAATGAATATTATGTTAGAATAAAAATTTTACTGAAACATGAATATTAAATAACCTGCTAAATTTTTTTATTTTTTCCGATATTGATCGGAATCTGGTCGGTTAAGATTTACATACAACTTTGTTTCAAATAAAAAAAAGAGTGTGAAAGTGCATTGTCTACTATAATTATAGAACAAATGTATTACGTATTACAATAAAAAAAATGAATATGTTTCAATAACTAGATTTTGTTTTGTCTTTTGTTCGATCAATTCTTTTTGAGTGAGATAAAATAATTAACCATAGCCAATTTCGTTTTTATTTACTTACTCATTATTTATCAAATTTAAAATATAGGCAAAATTTATCAGTTTCGTGGTAAGCTTTAGAGAGGTACAAAGTCTTGCAAAAACTGTTTCCAGACTTGCTTAATCAATTTATATGTATTACTTTAATAATTAAAAGTAATTTTTATTGTTACACAAAATTGAATTATATACATTTAAATAGATTTTATGTGCCAGTTTAGCAAACTAGTATATTGGGTGCTCATGTATTGTTTTTTATTTTCAAAATGCAGTCACTACAAATTATATAATTATAATTGCACAAAAAATTACAAATAAAATTCAAAACTATCTATAATTTAGTTTTTTAGATTCAAGTCGGATTATTCAGAATCAAAAGAAATAAAAACAAAGATGACTGATATGAGGCACAAAACATATTTTTAATTTTAATTCCAATTTTTTGTGTAAATATTATTTAAAAAATTTTTTGGCTTCATTTATTACTGAATGTACTTTAAACACTGTGAATTTTTTTTTTAGTTGAACGTTTTGAGTATTGTAATTTTAATTGGTTGCAATGAATGCTCAATTTAAAACTTAAAAGCAAATGTTCGTCTCTGATGCCAATGGGGTATCACTCCGCTACGACTTTACTTTAAATTTATTTTGAAAATTTTGTAGTTCATTAATATTATTCGAATAATTTTATAACTTATTATGTTATAAATTAATATAGAATAAATACATTTTTCTTAAATTAATTTGCAAATTATCTACACCAGATACAATATTTTGATGAGACAGTCTTCTGCATATATAAAAGTGCCGCGCGTTATATTTCGAACGTGGTTGGCCATGCTACTCGCGAGAGGCCACCTCGATCACTCGAACCGTAATTTTCCAGCTTGATTCTCATCTCGACTATCTTCCTAAGCTTTCTTTTTAACTTGGCTTTACGGCAAGGTACGTGTCTCGTGTTCAATATTTGTTAAAAAATCGTTGAATATCGTAAGCAATAAACATTTGTTTTAATCAACATCATCGTCTCGACCATTTTTTAATGATTTGTTCGTCGTTGGTGTTGAGATTTTTTTGTGTTAAGAGTGATAAAAAGTAATATCGAATCTAACCAATTTTGTGATATTAGATGTAGCCTATAAAACGTGTGCTGAAGTTCATCCCATACTCGTGTTAAAATTTTGAAACATAAAAAATGAATAAATAAAAGGAAGAAAAAAATTGCCTTCCTTAATTAGTTCTGTCACTTACAAAATCAATACGTGTTTATCGATACGTGTTCATCAGTTGCTTATAAATATATTTAATAGTAGATACATTTTTTGTTGAGGTTAATCTACCATGCACAAATATTTTTCGTTTACGATAGTCTTTGATTTTTTTATTAGTTTTGTTATAATAATAACCCATTCATCTATAAACTTACGATCGTACTAATTATTTGTTTTTTTATTTACAGTTTAACACCAAAATGGTGAAAATTATGAAAAGCGGAAAAGTCGTGCTGGTCCTCAGTGGCCGGTACGCAGGACGTAAAGCAATTGTTGTGAAAAACTACGATGAGGGCACATCGGAGAAACAATACGGCCATGCCTTGGTTGCAGGTATCGACAGGTACCCACGCAAAGTTCACAAACGCATGGGAAAGGCTAAAATTCACAAGAAATCTAAGATAAAGCCTTTCATCAAGGTAAGTTAATTTACTCTTGTACATAACAATGTACATCATAAACATTTTTGGCATTCAATATTAATGCTTTTTGCTTACTTGCAGGTACTCAACTATAATCATGTTATGCCTACCAGGTATACAGTTGATTTGCAGTTGGAGAAAATTGCACCTAAAGATCTTAAAGATCCAATGAAGAGGAAAAAGATTCGTTTCCAGACCCGTGTCAAATTTGAAGAAAGGTATTATTATTTACAATAATTAATAAAAAAATACTTTAAAACAATGCGTTCCAATTGTAAACAATTTTATGAGTTAAAGTTTTGTTGTCAATTGGACTTTTTTACAATGCTGCATTGTTTGATAAGTCATCAATAATTCTGTCAGTCAAATTTTCATAGTTTCAAATTAATTTAAGGTCTTGTTGTATTGATGTATTTTAAACGTGAACAATATTTAGTTTACATAAGATATGCAGGCAGAATTATTGTTCACCTTGTACATCCCTGTCATATAGTTCACTTGATGCATCCTTAAAAGTTATAACCTCGATGATTATTCTTTTTTCGCATTTCATATTTTCCATTTACTTTGGTCTACATTCGATCGAATATTAAAATTGTTGTTACTTTTGTGTTTCAGGTACAAATCTGGCAAAAACAAGTGGTTCTTCCAGAAGCTCAGATTCTAATTTTTCATAATTTAATAAACATAACTTACAACATTACCTCGAAACAGTGATTGATTGTTTTTTTTAACCCACACCCACAAATTGTCCTACTGATAATTATTATTCCTACTTAAAGCCGATACCATTCGTTTTCCTATTACGAGTCGACAACAGGTGCTGGTCGACTTTCACATTTTTTTTAGCGCGACGCTTGAACAATAATCCATAAAAACGAGATAATCTTTCAACAAAGTTCACCGATCTCTGTATCCCAACAATTGTCGGCCACTGGGGAGCACGAATTCCATCGATAGATTCGAGCTTTTCGTTTACTATCCCCATCGAGCGAGAGAAGCGCGTCGTTTCGGCACTCTTCATCGATCACCTTAATCATGCGCGCGACAGTCGGAACAACGACGGCACATCGCTCGGTATACATACGTAAACAGCATCGTAGGTACAATTGGGCCCGCAGCATCCAGCGAGTTCGCCATCTCTGATTGTAAATTTTTCCTCTCGAAGAGCGCCCCCGACCGATAAACAACAAGTACGTCATAGTTATCCTTTTTTATGATCAATTCGATCGATCGAACGTAATACGCGCTCGATCGTGGAACAACACGAAAAACTCAACGTTACATACGTATACGCTCCAATTCGTCGTGTTTACATTCTCGGCTAGACGGAATCGCTCCGCTCATCTTGAACTATATACGTAAATTCGAGAGCTTGCTCGGTTTCGATTCGTTTTATCTCACTTCGTTTCTTTTCTCTCATCGAAGACGTTCGACAAAATGACCAGCCCGCGGGAGGAGGCTACGACGATCGACGCAGCCGCGAAACCGCGCGATGGATTCCGCCACACCGAGGCGGCACTCGATCGGCTCTCGATCAGGCGCCTGATCGCCAACGAGCCATTGGACCTGGACGACGTTCTCGACGGCCTCGAGACGGACAGCCGGACGGGCACGATGAGGTATGAAGATTATTAATTAACACGCGAGACTTTTGCGGAACGACGTGCGTTAACTCCCGTCTGTTATCTCGCTGCAGGGAAATCGTCGAGCGGCTTCACTCCAGGAGTCTGGACGATCGCCAGTTCAGCATTAAATTGTCGGTGCTCGCGCGGCCCGACATGATCACGCCCAAGGACAAGCTCAACGTCACGGGCCTGCAGATAAATCTCGCGGGAATCATCCTGCGCACTTACGAGGGTACGTATAATATTATCCCAAAACACAAAAGTACGAAAATAAAAATATCTACATGGGTAAATCGTAATCGTATGCGTAGACTGGAAAAAAGTGCAGAAGAAGCCGAGCCGGGAGCAGTACAGGAACGGGCTGTCGCTGTTGGGCGAATTTTATCACAGGTACAACGCCACGGACGCGAGTTTCTTGCAAATGGACGCGGCCCTGATCGCTTGGCTCGGAGATCTGCTGAGCGACACCGAGGAGGAGGACGTGGAGCTCGTGGCGAGACAGGTTGACAAAATGTCCAAAAAAAAAAAAAAAAAGAAATACATTTCGTCGGAGCCGGTGTTAACATCGACATTTATTACAGCTATCGATCAACGGCCAGCTCCTGTCGAGATGCGCCGAGACGAAGTTGAACGAGCTCGTGCGGCGGGTCAAGCAGCAACTGGTGCAGCGCAACCTCAGCGTCAAATCGAGGACTCTGCTGATGTACGTCATCGACCTGGCCAATCGAGACTTCGCCCCGCTGCTCGGCGAGCAGCGCGACTTTTACGTCGGGCAGCTCGGCGAGGCGACCTTCGCCGATTTCGAGTTCTGCGGTCGGCACGTGCAGCAGCAGCCGCCAACCACCTTCAGCCGCTCGGTCTTGGTGTCGCTTCATCCGCAGTCCCATTTCAAGCCCGTCTGCAGCGATCGATCGAAGCCGCCCAGCAGCACCTGCAAGTACGAGCCGAGCAAGCCGATAGTCGTGCCGAGGCCGAAGCCGATCATCCAGAGGACGACGACGACGACGACAGAGGACACCTTCGACAGATTCGCCAAGTCCACGTACGACGCACTGCCTCGGACGAGTCGTCGCGGCGGGGGCTGTCAAGCCGCAGCAGCGGCTCCACATTGCCGAAAAAATCAGCGATCCGGTCAGTGCAACGATCATCACAAGGCAGAGAGATCGAGACGAAACTGCAAGAACTCCGACAAGGACAGGAAGCCGACCAGGCATTCTCCACCGGTAGCAGCAGCAGCAGCAGCGCCGCAGCAGCAGCGGCTCGATCGGTACAGGCCTCTGCCTCCGCCGAACGGCGATCACAGCAGCAACGACTACCCGAGAGACGAGGCGACCGCCACCATCACAACCATCACAACCACCACCACCACCACCACCACCACTACCGCCAAGGACGACGAGAACGTCAGTTTTTCGTGGGCCGACGACTTGCCCGACGAAGAGGACGAAGCGTTCGTGGAGACTCCCGACTGGTGAGTAGAGAGGGCAAGAAACATAGATGATTTATCGACGAGTGTTAATATCTGGATATTGAATATTTCCTTGCAGGTATAAGAAATCGTCCGGCGAGCCGTCCAGGTAAGCTGAGAAAAAACGAGAATCACTTGTAAATCTATCGATCTCTAGAATTGCTTACATTTTTTATTTTTGCAGGGGTGGAAAAGAAACCAAGTCTGGTGATTCTTGTAGGAGGTAAGTGTAAAACTATGATTATTTAAACGTATATTTGTCAAGAGTGATGGAATTTTAACCATTTTTTGTAGGAATACAAGCAATATGACATGCGACTCATCCAGTTCACGGTAATAAGTCGATTATAAATATTTCAACGTTTCTAATGACAATGACAAGTATCTAAATGATTTTTTTTTTGATTTTCAGTCGCATGAGGTTGCCGGAAACGAGACCCAAAAGATATTCCGAACGGTAACGAGGACCAACTAAGAATGGCGAGTAAATTTGTCTCTTTGAACTAATATCGAACTATTTTGCATTCTTTTGCAGGAGGAGCAGGCGCGGGTAAGGGATCAAACTTCAACATTCCCGACGAAAATTTTAAACCATATAAAATTTGTTCAAGACGTGCATCCAACGCAGAGAATGTTAGACTCGCCGACGATCGAGTACAAATTGAGATATTTTTGTAAAGATCGCAATTTACGATGAGTATTAGGAGATAATTTTGTAACTCTTTTACAAAAGGAACTCGGTGATATTGAGCTTAAAACGACAATCAGAATTAAGCTCCCCGCTGAGTCTTGATATTTTATGAAAACGAACGTATACGTGAATGATTTCACGATGATGATATAGCCTTAGATTTTATTGTAATCTATTTTAAGTATTTTGTTATTTATGTTGTTTTTATAGAGATCTAAGTGTGATGTAAGAAACATCGGTGTATGTATATTCTGGTACGCGAATATTGACTCCGAATTGTTAGATAACCGCTAATTAACTGTTTACAATCAATGATACTCAAAAACGTTTAGTATATTAATTCTCCCAACAAAAACAATAAGTCATTGTTGAATGAAACTTGTTAACATCATTTTTTGACTGCTCTATTGATAATTTTCCTGAAACCATCTGTGATAATTTGTATTCGATGAGCAGTTTTTTTAAAATCCCCGCTCAGTTTTTCAAAAAGATCATCAATTAGAAATGTCAAGAGATGTTATTGAAAAATTTCATTTTCGACTTTTGTTTATCATTGATACGCGTGAATCGTATTCTTAATTAGTAGGACAGAGGCTTAAAACAGAGTAACTTTTTTATTCGAGAGTCTCTTAAAAATCGTATTACAACCACTGTGATGATCGTATTATAAAATCGTATTATAATTAAGGAACAAATTTGTGAAATCACTGTGATATACATTAGTTTTAGATTGATATTTTATTCGTGACTGTTAAGGTTTTTCTTATAACATCACACAAAATTATTAACTTAGAAAAATTAAGTTTTAAGCAAATTATTAATATTTCAGGTATTTTACCTGACTTTTAATCATCTTTTTTTTATTCGATTCAAAAATTCGTTCGACGATTGCGTTGCACGCATTTATTAGACCATAGCAAGCAAGCATAGTAAGCTGTTAATAATAAAGAGTCTGTTGAACATCGTTTCATTAAAAAATGAATAAGTTGTAAATATTATTCTCTCAATAACAGTAACTTTTCTCAAGTCTACCGCCTAAGTGTTGCATTACATCGAAATCCTCAAATGATAACAAAATTATTGTACAGCACTTCAATCGAAAAGTCTCCCCTTTGAACAACAACGAAACGTCAATTTTTTAAAACTCGAAGTTCTCGATTTCGAACAGAACGTTTGCGAGCGCCACATCACGTGGTCTCGCAGCCTAGCAGACAGCTATTATCGCGCAATAATATTTCACATGCCCTAGACACAATATCGAACATTCGCAGTGCACGCAAAGTAGTAGTTAGTCAGTAGAATCGTTCTACCCCCCTACTTTTGCCGCTGCACCGAGACTCAGCGAGCAGGCGCGAGTCGTCTCTCTCTTTCTCGCTTTCGTCGCGCATTACCACGATGCATGAAATTCGCAGTCGAAGCTATACTACTGCTCGCAGTCTGCGCTATATATAATAATACAAACGCGCCGTTTTGTGCGTTCGCCGTGCGATACACAATACGAGAGAGAGAAAAAAGGGAGATAATCGCGAGTTTAAAATCTTCAAACTTTCTCGCGATAAATACATATACGTATAAAATAGATGTGTGTGCATATAGTCGGCTGTGAACGACGAGTGCACGTGTGCATGTTTAACTCCGAAGAAGCGGGGCGGCCTACGCGCATCACTGATACTACACAATAATAATACATAAATATAAGCCGCGCGAGAGTCAGACAGAGAGAGAGAGAGAGAAGGTAAGTTCGCATTATCGAATAAACAGCTGAGTAACATCTCGCAGCGCCTGTAGCAGTCACGCATTTCGACGTTTTGACGTTTGCTTTTTAATACATCTTGACTTGAATACGTTTGTGTGTGCAAGTAATATATAATAATAGTAGTAGTACGCAAATACATGCCATGATGCACGCAGTCCGTTATAAATCGAGCTCCTTTATCGGAGAGTAGTAATAGTAGGGGTAAGCCTAATAACTACATATATACATAACGCGTGCGAAACAATGGGACGATGACATTGTCGTATCGCTCTTATTTTTTTTTCTCTCGTTTCTTTCTTTCTTTCTCTCGCACATTAAGCAGCCCCAACGGCACGCCAAATAAACGGAGAGATGGACGTTATCTTTCGAGCTAGGCGTGAAATTCGACTCGCACAATTACGCGTGGCCTGCAAATATACAGTACCCACACACACACACACGCTCGGACGTAAGATAATGTATCGTGGTGCGCGCATTCGGCGAGTCTATTGTTGTGTGTACACACGAGCTCGAGATTTCACGTCGCCTCTCTACATACTTACAATAGCTGCCCGCGACTTCGAGAGTGTAGGGATTCAACGATTTTTTTTTTCATTTTGGAGCTTGCGTCGAGGCTAGGTGTCTTCTTCGTCGTGCTTATAATAAAGATTTGTCGTCGTCGTCTTCGTCGTCGCGTGCAGTGTGTGAAAGACGAGCGAGAGAAAGAGACAGACAGACACGGAGCGATCATTTCGGGGGTTTAAAAATATCCGCACACAGACATTTGCATATCGTATACAATAATACACACATCTATAACGCGATATATACCTTGACATTGGATTAGCTTCGAGATATACGCTGCTACTGCTAATATAGCCTCCCTCGGCCGTCACTCGTCGTCGGCAGCGTAGCATGCCGCGGTGCGATTCGCGCGCGTACGCATACACAAAGTATTAAAAAAAAAAAAAAAAACTTTCCACCACCCGCGGTGGCTAGCCCGAGTCGCGCGTAATTTCCTTAAAAATAGTAGTCGTATTGTAGACATTCGGTGGAGAAAAACTGCGACCGACAGACGCATCTCGACGAGTCGTGTGCGCGCGGGTGATTTTTGTACAAGACGTTTTGACGTTTATAGTGCATGTGTGTATATAGTGTGCTGCTGCAACGCGTCGTGCAGCCGCGATATATACGCAGGCCGCGTTGTGTTTTCATTCAGCGATTATTCATTGATTAATTGTTCAGCGCCGCCGTTGCCACTGTCACCGAGAGTTTTTAATAAACTATACGCATTTTCTTAAATACGCGTATACGTACGTATATATTTATAGAGTTATATAAAGGCGCCTTTGTCCGCGAGACGCTGCAGCGTTTATATTATTATTATTATTACGATGATGCACGCAAGCTCTCTCCGGGGCACTCGGGAATTCGCTTTATCATTCGAAAGACGACGAACGGATCGAGAAAATGCAATTTTCATTGATCTCCGAACGATTTCTTTTTACAGATTGCTCCAATTTTTTCTTTCTTCCGTGAGAGCACGAGACAGAGAAAAAAAGCTCGGGCATTCGTCATCTGGCAAGTTGTAAAGCACTTCTATCATCAATGACAGTTGTTGTCCTGACATGTCATACACTGAGCTGGAACATGGCTATCAGGTAATGCTTTTGGAATTGAGTTTTTTTTTTTTTTTAAATACCCAACGATGAAGTTACTCATGGTTTATCAATGCTAATTTATATTATCCGTTCGTTTGCAGGATCTCAGGAGTACTACTAACCAACCAATATTCTACGTAGGTGATATTGGGGCTGGACAAGCCGGCTTGGTAGGTCCAGGAGGTTCGCCACTGTATTGTCCAGCAAACCGAGTGAGTATGAGCCAGCTTGCATCAAGGACATGAGTAATTTTAATAACTGATTCTAGTTATTATGTTTTAAAAGTTGACGTAGAGATGAAAAAAAAAATTTTATTCTAAGGAATGATGGAAAATAGAAATGTATCGACGACAGCAGGAGATCTATGTTATGTTGATTACAATATCGATGATGTCGAGCCCTACTGGCTCCAGTTTATGGTAATCGATTAAGCTGTGTTTCATTTGTTCAGAGATTTATAATTTGATAATCCAGTTTTTGAGTGTACCTGATATTAGTGAATCATTAAGTATCAAACACAACCAGTCAGAAGCCTTGAGTTTTGGCGGTGTCTCTTTTATGAGGAAAATTTCATTGACGCCTTTGTAGAATAGGTTTATAAAATTAATAAAATTAGTGCAATCCTAGTTTGGACAGTTATTAACACTAGTGAGAGATTTTTGAAAATTCTTATCATACTAAAAATGTATAAAACTTGAAAAACATACATAGTTATCATTTAAACTTATCATTAAAACGTTAAACGTTAAACATTAAAACAAATTATTTAAAAGTATACATTGTCAATCAGTTACACAATACACGTTGAATTTGTTGCTCTATTGTGTTTATTTTTATACATTCTCAATTAATTTATTTTTTTCATGATGAAAACCTCGATATTACTTTCTTTATCGTTGAAAAGTTTTTGTTAAATCTTTATAATCGAGGAAAAAAAAATTTGTTCAATAAATGCATACTTGTTCAATGATAATCTAAAATTTTTGAAGCTCGCGCAATCGATTGATTTTCGAATCGTTACATTAAATACTAATCTAGAAAATATTTACATTTACTTTATACAAATGCATCCAAAAGCAGTTCAATCGAGTTTGAACCGTTATCGGCAACAACGAAAAATCAACGAACGACACAGATACTCTCATGCTCCACTGCACAAATAGACGTTAGAATAATACACGAAATTCAGCCGAGGAATTTAAAAGCCTTGATCCCACTAACTTTTCTCTGCTAACAATTGCATCATGTTCAAGCCCGATGTAACATTATCGAAGCACTATGGGCCACACACATGTGCATTACCGTATTATATTTATTTATACACGTGTAACTTGTGCGACGAATTCAAATATTTATCACCTGTCGTCTGCATGTACCGAACGAACGAATTACATCGATGATCGATTAAAATTCCCAAAAAGGCACACGAGTTTGCGCATATAATAAATTATAACAAATCGACTCGAAAAAAAAACTGCGGATAATTGATTTCGAGAACGAATCTCTGTCGGTCGAGTCAATGCATAGTCCTGATTCACGCGCAGCTTTTTGCGGATCGTCTCTTGTGTTTATGCGTGCGCGAGCGCGAGCGTATATACACACGGGGTCGAAGCACTTCGGTGCGATGCGCGTCACAACACACACACGGCAATTTAATTATACCGACCGATCTCGAGAGAGAGAGAGAGAGAGAGAGAGAGTTTATTTCTGCATTGTCCATTTTCGAACGTCGAAATAACCCAAAAACGTTTCGCGAGATAAACAATGAACGTATATGCAAATTTTTCGAATTTAAGTATATTCGCATCGTCAGCTGACTCGAGCACGCGTCGGCTATAAATAATCGATATACGTACGTGTGCCTTTGACATTTCTATCGTTTTCACGTCGCGCGTATTATAATGACAAAATAACGACACCAAGGCGACGTAAACACTTGGATCAGTCAGGTACATAGACGGAGATAGCTGTGAATTCGCCGATATCTAAAATCGCACTCGAACGAAAAAATCGAGGCGATCGAGCTTGCGCACATTATTATAATTCGCACGTAGAAATATATATATACGAAACCGACAGGAAAAAAAATTGTGCATCTTCTAAACGTATAAGCGTGCGATGTGCAGTTGCAGCAGCTGCTCTCCGTTGCGTTGTGCAATTGGGGGAAAAAAACATTCGTGTGCACACAGACGTGTATACTATATACAGATATATATAATATCAATGGCACAAACACACACACACATACACGCGTGTATACACTTGGACCGCGCGCGGACACGCGAATATCGCGTCGCGGAGTTGCTCGGTGTGTATATACGTTGTTGTTAAGCTGCTGCTGCTGCAGCGCAGCTCGGTGTGTAGTGTGTATAGCTCTCTGCACTGCAAGCCGAAGTTGAATCGCGGCCGCGTCGAACGCGGCAGTTACGAGCGAGCCGGTGACAAGCTCGCGTCGTCGCGTGGTGTTCGGCAAATTTTTCGATTCTAGTTCAATTTGGAATTTGAATTTTCGCGCTCGACTCTTGCGTCTTTTTGCGCGTGTGTGTGTGTCCGAGTTCGTAATATCGCGTAAGCATATATCACGACGAAGTGAATAGTGTGCGTGCGTGTGTGTGTTATAATCATATTATATGGTTGACGGTGCACGTGTTACTCGTGTCGCATATCGATTCCATACATAAATCGATATTGTCAAGTATACATAATTCGAGGCACGAGTTTGGGCAAATATTTTGGAGTCACAATACGTGTACAAGTCGAACGCCAGTTACTACCCCTATAGAGTCGAAATCGTTTCTTTGTACACCGATTTACTCGAGGATAGCAAATACACCCACGCGCGATACGAGCGAACGATCATCGACCACGAGACAATTATACATCCGAGCGCTGTTTATCGATATATATGAAAAAGTCGCGCGTCTCGCGGTCGGTCTTTAGATACGAGAGGCAAAAAAATAGTGAAGAATTTCGATTGTCTCGCAATTTTCTTATAGCGCGCGCGGACTTTATATACAATATAAAATAAAGGCCGTTTACTCGTATGCAGCGATTGAGTAATCGCTTCTTCCGCGTATTTTCGCGCTCGTCTCGCGCGACACACACGGGAATCCAATGTTTTTGTACCAATAAAGGATAGAGAGAGAGAGAAAACAAAATCAAATGATAGAGAGAGAGAAATGTGTTGTTTCGTGACGCACATTGCGCATTACGTTTAAGACAGAAGCGATTCTGTTTTCACGATCTTCGCGTTCTTCTTATTCTTCTTCTTTTTTTCCGCTCCGTATGTATGTAAGTTGGAAATTGATCAAACTGCATTGCGGAACTTTGTCATAATAATCTCATCGCCCGAGAACCGATACGTATATGTATCCGCGTTTGCTCTCGGGTCCGTTCGAATAATTCGATTGATTTCGAATATACACGAATGAAAAAAAAAAAATAAGAAGAAGATGCATCGATCGGCGCGCTTTAAATTATACGGAAGTCAGATACGATACGAAATTTCGAGCCGAGAGCTTAATTCTTATATTTGATCGTCTTCGCGAGCAACCCCTTATAATTTGTGTATATTCAGCAAGCGATATATTCTCTAATATCGACCGCGCGTAATTTTATTATGGAGTTAACGTGCGTGAGTACATAAGGCCGTAATTTTTCAAGGTGCACACAATGCGAGCGTCGATGTCCATATTTGTTTGTGCGTCTGTGTGTAGCTGCGAGCTTGCGCGTATTGTATACACACAGAGGGAGAGAGAGAGAAAAATTTACGAGTTTCTATTATTAGAGGCCGTAGTTAAAAGCGATCATAAAGTCCGCGGCTTTGGGTGTGAACACACTCGCACGTGATACACACACACACACACACACACACGGACTTACGGCCGGTCGCGACGATAGGAAACTTTTATCTCGTCTTAAATATATATATATTGGCACGTATCGTACGCCGCTCGTTCCGATAATTATTTTTTTCTTCTTTTTCTTCAACGTCGACGAAAGAAAGAAAAAAATGTTTTTTCCGACGATTAATTGAAAAATAAGAGAGAGAGAGTCGTGAAAGGTGTCGTATACATCATTGACGCCAAGTCAAAGAGTCAGCCATCGTAACGCGAGCTTTTCAATTTTCTAAACGATTTTTCCTCTCGACGACGACCATTTTTCTCTCGCGAGACTTCGTCCATTGTCTCTCCGTTTTCGTGGCTCGTCGATCTTAATTACGCATCCTATACCTCTTGTTCGCGGCTCGTTTATTCTCGTCTACTGGCACGCGTTACACACACAGCGTTTGTCACTTTTGTAATAATAACGCTAATTAGTTTTTCTCGGCGCGCGTTCGCTTTGAAAAATCGTAGCGCTGATGTAATTTTTATTCTATATTATTAATATCGTACGCAGGCGGCACGAGTGCGCCGGGCGCGGAAAAACCCGTCGTTGCATTGTCGCGCGCGATAACGAGAGAGAGAAAAAAATTGATTCGCGTTTATAAACGGATATACGTATATTTTTTTTCAAATGCACGTGACATTCGTTAAGGTTCAATGTATTTGTATCTGTGCACGCGTGGCGATATTTACGAAAAAAAAATTAGGCGTATAACGCATGCAGGGTCAATAACCCTCGGAAAATAACGCGCATAGTTCGCGGTGGTTTTTTTTGTCTTATCTATTCTCGCGCGAAGCATAGCACGTAGAAACTTTTGAACTGGACACACTCGCAGTAATGACATAAAAGTCCGTGTGTTATTATAAAAAAAATTAACCGCGATAACAAACTTGCCGCATCGAGTCAACAATGCTGCAGTTTTACGCGTGACCAACAAATCGAGAGAAAGAAAGAAAGAAATGTTCGGCCCTGAACTTGGCTGAATTTCAAAAAGTAAAAAAAGAAAGAAGATAAGACTCGTGATTTTTCATCAAAACAATCCCCTCGAGCTCGCGTCGCCCGTTACTCACTTATTCCGCGCGAAAGATAGTTTTATTTTTATCCCAATAAGCCGTTTTTCGTTGTCGACGACTCTCAATACGATTATAAATCGCGTACCGATCAAGAGCACCAGTCCGCGCGCGCCAGGATATTTCTCATTCGTCTGTTTTTTTTTTTTCGGCGCGAATAATTAAAGGACTGACACGCTTTCGCGAGAGAGCGGGCTCGGATCGATATTTTTCACCTACACACGTATAACACAGCTGGCTCGTGTAAACGTCAGCAGCAGCTACAGCAGCAGCAGCAGCGAGCCTATATGATATGGATTATACGTTTTAAGGTCACCCCTTACAAGCTCGTCTACGCTCCCGAGAATATCGCGATCGCCAACTTTATGCATTATTATTATTATATCGCGTTCCGCAGGAGAGGTCAAAATATAGTCGCAGCTCCGATCGAAATTTTTCAGATGGAAAAAACATTTTTACGGTTCGCTCGTCTGCAAATATAATATAAAATATAACGATGATCGATATCGTCTCGTCGTTGAACAATCTAATCGGCGAGCAATTATCCGTTCGATAAATCTTGCGCGTTGTATTTGTTTCTTATTCGAGAAGCGAGACGACACGAGCAACGAGAAACGCTTTCGTGTGCGTACGATAATGCAAAAAAGTATACACGTAGAGGAAAAAAAAATTAATATAATATAAAAAAGAACGGCATTCATCGGTGATAAGTTTCCTTGGCTGCGAAACATCTGCGCGTTTATGCAGTAATTATACAGGCGCGTTTTCCGCGTCAATTATTATACGTATTGTGTTATACATTATTTTAATTTTCCTCGTCTCGATCGCCTTATATCCCTATCAACAAACGAGAGAAGCATCGATGTACTGCTTGGTAATTCATCCGACGCGATTGGTCAGAAAATTCGACGGATTAATTTATATCCGATAAAAATTATAACTGCGCGTTATAGGTGGTAGAAAATTTTCACACCGCGGCCTCGACCGAAATTCCTCTATCGCATTACGTTATTATCAAACTCGCTATTAAACTTCCTTATCGTCCCTGTGTTAAGCTCCTTCTTCTTCTTCTTCTTCTTTGTCGCGTGGGTGGTTATTATAATCTTTCTCGAAGATTGAAAACTGAAACTCGATTACGGATACCGTCATCGTTCATCCCTCGGTTCATAAGATGTAATGAAAAACGTATACAATAAAATACGCGATATATAGCGACGGTCCGCGATATATAGCCGCTCGCGAAGTTCGCGCGCGCGCGCGAGCCTTGACTCAGTTTTTCGACGCAGATTTAGGATGGTTATAACGCGCGGTATACACGCGCGAGCGGCCTGTTGTGATGATAGCTACACACACACATACAAACTTACACTCAGCCGCTGCAGCAGTGGCAGTAGTAGTCTATATACTCACCTATTTATATATAACGTTTGTAACAAATAATGATGTATATCGTAACGATTCGCGCGCGCTTATATGTAGCGGCGGCCCACGCGAACTCTCCGTTATATTTTATACTCGAACTGCAGACGGTGTACGGCGGCACACCACGTGTTTGTTATTGTGGGTGTAGCGCGCACCGAAAGCTCTGTGTGCGTCGCGCGAAAATAATTCGGCGCGGAAATTAGCTCATCCGGTTCATAGGATAATAATAATTACGCGCTCTTGCGTATAGCTTGTAAACGTGCGATTTCGACTCTAAGATATTTGATCCAAACTCAGTGCGCGGTGTTTCCGATATGATCACAGATCGCCGATAAGAAATTCGTGATCGATATATCGAACTGACAGTGTGAAGCGTGACGCGAGTGCGCCATTGATCGAGCCGCCGCCGCCGCCATGGAGTGGTCCTGGTGGAAGGACTGGTGGCGACTGAAGCGCTGGCGATCGCGCAACAACGCGAACAGCTGCAAAACCGGCGACGACGATCAGGACGGTGCCGACGACGACGAGGACGACGACGACGACGACGATGAGAATAACTCGTACCCCGGGCGAAACGACGACGACGACGACTGCTGCTACTGCGACGAGTGCTTCGTAATGATATCGATGACAATTATTTATTTTAACGTATAGCTTCTTTTTTTTTGTCGAGCTTATACTCGAAGGCCTCTATAGGTATAGAAGAGAATCAGAGGCCGAGCTTGTTATACACGTGTGTGTGCGCGCGCCCTTCTGTGTATAACGCAAGAAAACGTATATACATTGTGCGTGCTCGTCTGGCATCGCGCCGACGTTCGAAGTTATAATATATCTGCGGCACATGTCTTACACGCACACACAGCAACACGGACGAGTGTAAATACACCGAGAAAACGCACCGCGCGTAATAACGTCGAACGCATTATTATAGCGTTAATTTCCATTGGCGGTCGAGAGACTTGGTCGCGCGAGTGCAACTGATTTATCTATAACAACGAGTCCGCGCCGACGTTTTATAAAAGCTAACCGAACTAATTTTAAGCGCTACTGAGTATAAGGTAGTCGAAAGATCGTTATCGTTCGAAAAACAAAAGAGACATCGAAGTGTCGTCGAAAAGCTCGCGGTGGATCACGGAAAGCTCGAGTTTTCCGCGGGGGAATTTTTTTGTTTTTCTCCGTTTTGCAAGTGCAACGTAATAATATGCACACGCGTTATAATTGAGCTAACTCGTGCGGCATACAGACGAGGTGTGTGTACAACGTATATTATATACTTTAACGCGTCGCGCGAATTGGCTGACATCCTAAAACGGAGCGCGGCGCAACTCGCACATTGACAGCTTAAGGATGAGTTTGTGTAAACTATGGGTCGCGCAGCATCTTACAATACGTACTTCTCTCTTTGTCTCCCTCTTTTTTTCACGAGTGCCTCGATGCGGTGTCGCGCGCTAATCCGAAAAAAAAGCTAACGCACGTGTGTCATCAAAAAGCTGGGAATAAGAGAGATAGAGAACGGTAGCCCCGCGCGGCGAACAGCTGACGAGATGCTACACGGCTGCGATACGCTCGCACGATGTATCGATATTTTTTTCTCGTCGTCGTCTTCTTCTTCTTCTAAATCTATAGTCTTTTGTAACGACATCGGTGTGCGCTGCTCCGTGCGCGACATGATGTAACTCACTTAGCGTCTTTCTCTCTCACACACTTATACATCTCTTGCTCGCTCATACACGCTCTCCGTTTCAGGTCAATAGAATATTTTGTACACGTATACAAATTCTACATTATATACATGTATGCCCGTGTACAGCGTTGATTTAAAATTTAAAGTCTATTTTTTCTCTCCGTCTCTTTCTCTCGCTTATCTGTTAGATTATACACGTGAGAGAGCTGCTGCTGCCGCTGCTCTGCCACTACCACCGCCGTTACCAAAATCACCACCACTGGCAGCAGCAGCTCACGGACTAAATATTTATCGCCGTTCGATGTCTGCGCCGATTATACATTATCATAATTTAGTAATACCTCGAAAATTGGCTCGCTGCTGGCCGGCCACTTCCGAGCGCGCGCCAGTACGATACTGCGTATTTTATAAAATAGACGACGAGCATTAGATACATAGACTGGCGAGAGTTCGTGTACATCGCGGAAAAAATTTTTTTCGATCTTTATATATAATTGTGCGTGGTGTGCGTTGACGTGCCGAGCCCTATATGTGTGTGCGTTTGTGCCTGTGTTTTGAGCAACGATAAACAGAGCCGTGTGCGACAGAGAGCCTCGTGGTGCCTTTTTTTTTTTCTTAACTTCCATTCGAGTGTTCTTTTTTCGTGATAATATCGACGATATGGTCATCAAGGTTCTTATATCTACACACAAACACGCAATTATATCTATACTCGATCACTCGCACTGTGTATAATACACACATATATACGAAATTATTACTTAGACACCACTCCCATTTAAATACACAGCAAATACGTATGTACGTACACCTGCGAATGAAATGTCCCTTATAGTCCCTAAAAAAAAACAAAAACAAACATAAAGAGATCGTAACTCGATTGTGAAAAGTGTGCGCTGCGAGTGAATTGACAGCAAAAAAAAAAAACAACGTCCCCATCCTAACTCAAGTATACGTTATTTTTTTCCTCTGTCAGGGCGAACTGTCGGAGGGCTGCGTCAACGAGGATGGCTTCCTGGCCGGCGGCGAGCCCGAGGGCGAGGGCAAGCAGGTCCTGGTGGGAATATGCGCCATGGCCAAGAAATCGCAGAGCAAGCCGATGAAGGAGATACTCACGCGCCTCGAGGAGTTCGAGTACATCAAGATCATCGTGTTCGCCGAGGAAGTCATTCTCAAGGTACGTAACAATTTCATAATACACGTTTACGAAGCAATTTTATGATTTTTTGAATTATTTTGTTTTTACACGCGCACGCAGGAGCCGGTGGACAAGTGGCCCGTAGTCGACTGCCTGATAAGCTTCCACAGCAAGGGATTCCCGCTGGACAAGGCCATCAAGTACGCCGAGCTGCGCAATCCCTTTATCATCAATAATCTCGACATGCAATACGACATACAGGTACGAATATTTTATTGAATTTTCTTGTCGATAGAAAAATTTTTACGTTATCGTTCGCACCTCCCGAATTTTCAGGATCGGAGACGAGTCTACGCTATTCTGGAGGGCGAGGGTATCGAGATACCAAGGTATGCGGTATTAGACAGAGATTCGCCCGATCCGAAACGTAAGTTCATCGTCCTGTTGTTGTTGTTGTTTTTTTGGTTGGTGTCTTCGAACTCTGTCTCGTAGTACAAAAAAAATAACTGTATTGTAAAACGTCGTAAATCTCGTTATAGCATGATATATCGAGTACAATGTGTAATAATTGTATCTATACTCTTTTGGTGTTTGTTGTGATCTAACTACGTGAAATTAGCATTCGACAAATGCATGCGTCTATCTTTATCTTCTCCGTCTTTCTCTCTTTCGCTATCTACTATTATTTTTTATGTGTTCACTCACACGCACATCTACACACGTAACAACGCACGTAATTATATGTAATTCTAATATTATGTATACGATACAAATAAAAGTAATAATAATTACGTATTGTCGATTATGCTCCGTTGTTGAGAGGCGGTGCTCTGCCCCACCACCACCCTCCTTCAGCTGCATGTGTTTTGTGCTGTGTTTGAATGTTCTAATCTTGACAATCGAAGGACCAAAGATTTTCTTCCAGAGCACGAGCTCGTCGAGTCCGAGGATCACGTCGAGGTCAACGGTGTCACCTTCAACAAGCCCTTCGTGGAGAAGCCCGTCTCGGCCGAGGATCACAACATCTACATCTACTATCCGACCTCGGCCGGTGGCGGCTCGCAGCGGCTCTTTCGCAAGATCGGCAGCCGCAGCTCGGTCTACTCGCCCGAGTCGCGGGTACGCAAGACGGGCTCGTACATCTACGAGGACTTCATGCCCACCGACGGCACGGACGTCAAGGTTTACACGGTCGGGCCGGATTACGCGCACGCGGAGGCCCGCAAAAGTCCCGCTCTCGACGGCAAGGTCGAGCGCGATTCCGAGGGCAAGGAGATCCGTTACCCGGTGATACTCAGCAACGCCGAGAAGCTCATCAGCCGCAAGGTCTGCATGGCCTTCAAGCAGACGGTCTGCGGCTTCGACTTGCTCAGGTCAGTTTTTTTGCTCTCTCTCTCTCTCTCCGCGGGGAGTCGTGTGTCGCTAATTGGTTGTTTATATATATAGAGCAACAAAAAAGCTTCGATTTCATTAAGCGCAGATGATGATGCCCCGCTGTCGGTGTCGATTTCTCAAAATAAACTTTTTAATTAGAAAAAAATAATGATAATAAAAGTAAATAGAATCCTCGAAGGTTGCGCTGACGCGCTGACCGTTTATCAAGCTTGCGATTGCGCGCGCGAAAAGAAAGAACGAGAGAGCGAGCGAGCTCGTTGTTACCTTATATCCTCGCACGCACGGAGGAGGAGACGAGAGCCTTTCTCACGTTACTCTCTCGTTCTGGTCGATTCGCGTTATACGTACTCGACTCTCAGTCACTCGCCAGTCGTACGATCGATCGGACGCGGAGCTTTTCCGTTGTCTACACGCATTATAATTAATTTTTTGTTTCTTTGTGTTTCCACTACTACGACAACAACAGAGCCAACGGCCAATCGTTCGTCTGCGACGTCAACGGATTCAGCTTCGTGAAGAACTCCAACAAGTACTACGATGACTGCGCCAAGATACTCGGCAACATGATCCTGCGGGAATTGGCTCCGACCTTGCACATACCCTGGAGCGTGCCCTTTCAACTCGACGATCCGCCGATCGTGCCCACGACCTTTGGCAAGATGTGAGGATTCTTTATTAGGATATATACAAGCTTGTTTTATGTTCTTACGATTTTTATTGCTCGCATTTTGTCTGTGTGTGTACTGTGTGTGCATTGTATAACGAGGCTCGAGAGAGTTTTATAACGTCGGCTTCGCGACGACGACAAAATGAAAATTCATTTCGGAAGTGCCGTGTTGCTATATATCGAGGAACGAACGAAATTATGCGCTTGAATTATTCCGCAAGTACGTAACACGGACGGACGATGCGTGTATATATAGTTTATATACGGGCCAATAAGAGTTACACGATGTGATATAAATGTGCAGATGCATCAACTTTTTTTTCTTTCAAGAGCCTTGTAATATCGTGAATCGAATCAAGTATAATTGTTATGACAGCGATATCGAATTGAAGCGAAGTTTCGAGCGTGAAATGCGATCGCCCGATGAAAACCGCGACCGATCGATCTCGATGTATACACACGGAGACGTATGTATGTGTGTAGAGGCATAATTTACCGGTGAATAGAAGCTCGAGCGCGTCGATTATTGTACGGCGTACTCATACGTGTATATCTATACTAATCGACGTCGCGTTGTTTTCAAGGATGGAATTACGATGCGTGGTCGCCGTCATAAGGCACGGAGACCGCACGCCCAAGCAGAAAATGAAGGTGGAAGTGCGACATCCCAAGTGAGTTGTCTTTCTTCTTTTTTTTTATCTTCTATATTGCGATTCTTCTTGTATTTTATCGATTTTCTCCCGTTTTTTCCAGATTCTTCGAAATTTTCGCCAAATACGATGGGTACAAGCACGGCCATGTCAAACTGAAACGTCCGAAGCAGCTGCAGGAGATCCTCGACACGGCGAGGAGCCTGCTCGCCGAGATACAGCACAGAGCCGCGGGCCCCGAGCTCGAGGAGAAGCAGGGAAAACTGGAACAGCTGAAAAGTGTTTTAGAAATGTAAGTCGAGCCTGCTATACAATAATACGGAAGAGGACGGATGCATATAATTAAACGAGTTTTTCTTGACGCAGGTACGGTCATTTTTCCGGAATCAATCGCAAAGTCCAAATGAAGTATCAACCTCGAGGTAGGCCAAGGGGCAGCTCTTCCGACGACGGGAGTAGCAGCAGTACGTTCATAAATAACTACTACTCCCACCGTAAACAACGACAACGACACACACGCGCGCACGCATAATCGCTAATTTATATCTTAAACACATACCCGCGCGCGCGACGACGATTCCGTGCGCATCGATCATACTCATGCGTTGCTGTTTCTTCTTGCAGATCGACTGGGCGAGCCGTCGCTGGTGCTGATACTGAAGTGGGGCGGCGAGCTGACGCCCGCGGGCAGGATCCAGGCCGAGGAGCTGGGCCGCATATTTCGCTGCATGTACCCTGGTGGTCAAGGTAGACACCTCAGTGGTTCGTATCGTACGCTCCTTTCGCTTCTTTTGCTGACGACTAAGTTTGATATCTCCGCCTAGTTCTCTTTGATAAAAAAAAAAAAAAAAAACAAACAAATCGGATACCTTAAGTATTTATCTAATGTCACAGTAAGATCTGTTTTTACTTATATATACCATGATATATAATGATTCATATTGTATAATTTAGACTGCGCTGTAATTTCGTTTGATTACTCTGTAAATATCTGTATCTATGCTGTATTTTCTTGGTTCTTTCTTTTGGTCGGCGCTGAGAGGACCTTGCAACTGCTGATGTTGATTATTATTACTATTGTTTCAACTTATAGAAGCTGGTAGTATTTGCGCGTGACTTTCACGTATGAAGAAAATTGCCGCTACTGCTGGTATTTTAATGAAATGACAAAAAGAAAATTAATATACTCGCACTGATTATCATGTTGATGCATTGAGAGACGTTTTGTAAAGAAAAAAATGATATAACGTTAGTCGAAAAGAAATGAACAGTTCGATCGATTCTGGTCAGCCTGAAAACTGTTCATTTTTCACGAAAAAAGCTGAAAGGACATGTAGATTAGCATTGTTAGAGTATAGAAAAGTAACGCAGACCCAGAAAAATGCTGAATGCATTGTGGCAACTTGGCATTTAATTGTACATTGCTTCTCTAAGTTTCAAAGCCAATGTCAAGTAGATAGCCTGGATATGGTTCGCGACGCGGAAAACATTGTTTTTCATGGGTCTGCGTAACCATTTAGTTTTTCCATCCAGTATTGTTTCTATGCTCTATCGATTTTTATATCGCACACTTTTCTTCACGTAATTTCGACCTCGGGGAAAAATAACTTTGCATTATTGTACTTTCAATTTCTTTTCCCCCTCCGGAATCCGAGAAGAAGTTTTTTTCATTATATAAGCTTTTCACACGGCTCGCGCTCGCAACGACGAAGCGAGCTTTTATAACAGCAGAAAGATCTCTATTCATGATTATTAAATGTTATTTCAGAGGAAGACTCAGAGATGTTACCAAGCCACGGTAACTTTTTTTTTCTCTCTCTCAAAAAAAGTTCATTGCTAGTTTTGTAGTTTAGTTATGTGAAAATTTTTATGTCAATGTTTCCTTGAACGACTCGGCACTCGCAGAACAGCAAAGGAACGTTTGTCGTTTCTCTCTCCCCCCCTCAATTTCTTCGTTCTCTTATACACTTACGCAAGCTGTAAACCGCCTTTGTATTTGTTGAAATAATGTCGCTAATTTAATAGCTTTACATCCCCTCCCCCTCTTTTTCATAAGTCTAGAAGAGGTTTATAAAAAAAAATTGTCTGTTATGCTGTTATGATTAATTTAAATCACGATCATATGAAACATGTGACACATCGTTATAGTCTCTCATAGTCAACAAAAAATCATCGTGCATCTCATTGCATACGAAAAATACTTCGAGTATTTCCAGTCGCTGGAAATATGCAAAAAAATCTTCATGACTTCGTTCTTCATTTCAAATGAAATTATGTTTTAATTTGCAATGTTTTTTGGTTTTGTTTGTTTATGATGTTTATCTATTTCATATAATCATACAATCGTGCTTTGGAAATGAGCCATTAGTGAATACTAGACCTATTTTTTAAGATTTTTAGCATTCTCTACTCAATTTCTAAAATGTAACGATAAATCATTGAAATAGTTATCTGTGCATGATTTTTATAAATATTGAAATATTTAAATTTTAGTCAAATTTTTTTTTCCTCCAAGAACTGCTTAAAACATTTTCCAATTGGCTTGTAAAAGTCCTTTACTCTGCAATTTTATCCTCGAACATATCAGTAAAAAATCAGCTACACTTGTCTAAATAACAAATTTTTCTAAAAAAAAAAAAAAAAAAACAAAATGTATTCACAATTCTTACTATTTATTGGCTCAAACTCCAAAACAAAAAAAAACCCACACGAGCAGCAATAAAAGCACAAAAATGATTACAACACAGTACACTCGATACAAATTAATTGAAAAAAAAACAAATGCTTTTACACTGCGTTCTGAAATATTGACAATTTTTGCGCTGACCTGGTATTTTCTGTTTCGTTTCCAATCGTAAAAAAAACAACAACAACAAACAAACATTAGGTGAATACGCCGGAGCTCAGGGACTAGGTTTGCTGCGGCTGCACTCGACCTTCCGACACGATCTGAAGATTTACGCGAGCGACGAGGGACGCGTGCAGATGACAGCCGCCGCCTTCGCCAAGGGCCTGCTGGCCCTCGAGGGCGAGCTCACGCCCATACTCGTGCAGATGGTCAAGAGCGCCAATACCAATGGCCTGCTGGACAACGATTGCGACAGCAGCAAGTATCAAAATATGTGAGTATTATCGTCGTCTCGAATGTCGTTTGCATAATATAAAAATCGAGCTGACGAATCTCTTCCCGGTTTGCGCAGGGTGAAAAACCGATTGCACGAGTACTTCCAGCAGGATCGGGACTTCACCGACGAGGACCGCGAAAAAATCAATCCCACCAACGCGCTGAGCATCAACACGGCCCTGGACTTCGTGAAGAATCCAGTGCGCTGCTGCCAGCACGTGCACATGCTGATCCAGAAGCTCATGGACATCGTGCGCATCAAGAAGGACGACCCGAAGACCAAGGACGCCATCCTGTATCACGGCGAGACCTGGGAGCTGATGGGCCGCAGGTGGGGCAAGATCGAGAAGGACTTCTGCACGAAGCAGAAGCGCTTCGACATATCCAAGATACCGGACATCTACGACTGCATCAAGTACGATCTGCAGCACAACAATCACACGCTGCAGTTCGAGCAGGCCGAGGAGCTCTACATCTACTCCAAGTACCTGGCCGACATCGTCATACCGCAGGAGTACGGCCTGACGGTGCAGGAAAAATTGACCATCGGCCAGGGTATATGCACGCCCCTGCTGAAGAAGATACGCGCCGATCTGCAGAGGAACATCGAGGAGCCCGGGGAGGAGAGCGTCAATAGATTGAATCCTAGGTACCAGTCGTTTACCGAACGGTAATGAAGACTGAACATTTGAGCAACGACTGATAATTTTTTTGCTTTTTCACACAGATATTCTCACGGGGTATCGAGTCCCGGCAGACACGTGCGCACAAGACTGTACTTTACCAGTGAAAGCCATGTACATTCATTATTAACGGTTTTACGATACGGTGGCTTGCTTGATGTCAGTGTCTTTGGCGCTTCATCCTCTCATGTTTCGATCCACCGGACGCCCGAGTCTCTCTAATGCACGGCAATCTGCCATTTTTGTTGCAGGTCTTGAACGACGAGCAATGGAGGAGAGCCATGGAGTACGTCAGCATGGTCTCGGAATTGAATTACATGTCGCAAATCGTCGTCATGCTGTACGAGGACCCCACGAAAGACCCGAGCAGCGAGGAACGATTCCACGTAGAATTGCATTTCAGTCCCGGCGTCAATTGTTGCGTGCAGAAAAATTTGCCGCCCGGGCCGGGCTTCAGGCCGCATTCGCGCAACGAGAGCAGCCATAATTTAGTGAGTCTATATTGTCACGATGAGCGCTAATTGTTTGAAAATAACAAGTACTTGTAATAATCCATTGTACATCGAGCAGCAAGACGTAGGCTCCGGTCAGGATTCGAACTGCAGCACGCGTATCGAGGAGGAAGACACGGAAGTAGGTCAATTAGAAGAAGACGTCGCGACGCCTCCGCAAGAGCCGGAAGTGTCGACTACGATAATCGAGGTCGATCCCGTCGACGCTGCCGACGCCGCCGATTCCACCTTGGACAGTCCCACGACGAGCCGAGCCATCAACATGATGGACTTGGATCCGAACATCATGGACGAGCCGTACGACAGTGGTTTTCTGCAGAGCTCGGCACCCATTCCCATAAGGTTTTTATTTCGAATGAAATTCGATCGAAATACAGAGAGAGAGGACGATTCTTGATTTCCCAATTTCAAACCCGTGTAGCGCGAGAACCGTGGCCGGTCACGAGGCGGCCAGACTGGGCAGTCAATTGGCCGCGAGTCAGAGGCAGCGCCGCGAGCGCGAGGCGGCCGGCATCATATGCGAGCCAAGGGCGCGCAGCTACGACCATCAGCGCCAAGACAAACCGGAAAAAAGTAAGTGCCAATCTTCATCGAGACACGTATTATTTGCCAATAATACCGCTATCTCCATCGGTCAGTATTATTATCACTTTATATTTGAATTCTTGCGATTTCTTCGATCGAGTATCGAGAGAAACAAAAAGTCAATGAAGCTATCATTTTGAAATAGTTTAAGGTGCTTCTTGAGGCGATACGTAATACATATATTTGACGTACATATTGCATGGGTATTTTTTCTTTACAAGTGGAAATTCTATTTTATTGACGTTAATTGGTCGTATACTTTCAATTGGGTACAACCTCATTTGGAGCTATTTTATTGAGACACTATTGAGTAAATTTATTAGAATCATTAAATATCATTGATGAGCTTTCATGGTGGATAGCTATGATTTTGGGCAACTATTTTATCCTGAGGCTGTGCCAAAAACTCTTCTTTTTTTCTTCTTTTTTTTTGTTGCCTTTTTTTTTTAAATAATCTATCTCTCTTTAAATGCATTGCACTACCTACTATTGAGACATTACTTTTCGTATAGAGCAAAAAAAAATTACGATAACGATGGCTTTTTTCGTTGTCTTTTTTTTTTCGTATCTTTATTCGTAGCTGCGGACAAGCTGCAGTATCAGAGCTTGGACGCGGTCGACAACGAAGGTACGTTTTTTCTTGTTCTATCCTTCACACCCCCTCAAATAGTCACTTTTTTCTCCGAGCGCCCACGACATCGAATCATAATCCGGTCATGCAGAACCACTCAAAATTATAAAACAAAAAATTTGAAAATTTCCAAAGAATGCAAATTAAACGAGGTCAGCATATATTAGTACGAACCTGTCTGTACAGATTAAATTTAAAAATGTCTGAACTCAATAATTTGCAAAGTAGGGAGAGGATGTATACTTGTAAAGGGGAGATCCCCAATGATGTAGTTGGGATTTCAAAACTCCCCCCCTTGCCGAGTAGTTGCATTTCAGTCGGACATTTTTGAAGGGAAGCATTTTTACAACCACAAATTATAATCACATTTATATAATAGACAATGAACTTAGTCGAGGGCTGCATTGCACTGCCTGAACTTTTGAGAATGACTCCCCCAAAGCTGGAGCTATGATTTGTTTTTTATTGCACCAAATTATATTTTTTTCGTTTACCCCGCAGTGCTATGATTTAAAAAAAAATCAATAAATAAATAAATAGATCTCTTGTCATAAAGTGTGCATCAGAATACACAATTCACCGATCTGATTCCTTTTACGAAAATTATTCTGTAGTATTTTTAACGATTCGACTGTCAAACATTGTTGAAAGACATTTTCTTACCGTACATCGTTAGTACATTGGTACCTCAAGCACACAAACTTTCAATCTTAATTTTAAAAAGACCTCCAGTACAGATGTGAATTTTTTTTGCGCGTAAAAACGAAGAAAATTCTTTTTCCTTTTCTCAATACTTACTGTGTTATTTTTATGCGTGTTTTTTATATCTAACTGTGTGCCAACGCACACACGACATAAGTACTTTCCCAAACAGAGTACCGTCGTGTGTGCCACTTTCGAATTTCTTCTGTTTTTTTTTTCAAATAATAATCAATAATACAATATTTTTTATACAATCATGTTTTTTGTAACCAGCAATGAATATAAAGATGCGAATTTTTTTTCTTACTCTTTATATGTATACTATCTATTTATATATGAAAACAAAATCTCTCACACACATCCGGATTTGAAATAACTCTTTGCTCTGTGATAGTTGTGCGCGTGGAAGCCATGACTAATTTTTATATTAGTGAAAAAAAAAAAAAAAACGAGTCGACCGTTTGGACCACACACAAACGGACACGCATCGGTCCTGCGTGATCGATCGCGTCTCCGTAATACTCCAAAAAGTGTGTGATCCACTCAGCCGCTCTTACTTTCCCTCAATTTCCTCGTCTTCCCTTTTTTATCACGTCTTGTCGATCCTCGTGATCCTTCACAAATATGTATATTTGCACTGGTTCTAATTTTTTTTTGTTAATTTAATAACTCTCTTTGTGTTTTATTATTACGCACACTCTTGGTGAATAGTTTTTTTTTTTGATCATTCGAATTCATTCGGTAACGTGATTTACATTAGAAGTTAAGGTTTGATATCGAGTGCTATAGTTTTTCTAGCTTAAAATCGAAAATATCAGTATCTGGTATTGATTTTAGATATAGACATGTTTTTGCTGCCTATTACATAGTCTATTTTTTTCGTCGTTGTACAATAGGCGCGTTGAATTTCGTCGGGTAGAGTATTTGTTATCGATCGACAAACATTCAAAGTTCATTGAATCATTCATCGTAAACGTTATTTTACAATGAATTCTTGTACTTTATATCCGTAATAGATTGACACGTTCTCTTCTTTTAACGCATTAGTTGCTTGATAATTGGTTTTTTATTTTCGTTGTCCTCTAACTTGTGTTCTCTAACGATACAAATGGAGAAAGTAGCGAGAGAAATGAGCTATGATACATTTTTCTCGCGGCTTTTCCAGCTTACTCAACGAGCTTTTAGCAAACTTAATTATCTAATTAATTAGCTGTGTTTTACATGGTTGCCTGTGACTAACGTTATCTGATATCTTCTTCTTAATAATTTTTTTTTTGTATCGATAGTCTCTATCGCGTAAACTGGTGGTCTATTTTATGATACATTATACATATTATTGTACATATTACGATTGAGAATGTATTTGGTACTTTTGTACTTGCGTCGACGCGTGTCACAAAGAACGTCATTTTAACTTGTAACGCGCGTCGACGCGCGTGGGTAATCAAAATAAATCGTGTAAATACACCATTATATGAATGTACAAAAAAAAAAAAACAGAACGTCGTAACACTCGTGAGAGCAGATTTAAGATGCAGTCCAACACATCATCCCAGACTATACTATGCTATATTACTCATCCCCGTAGACGATTATACTCTTATTTTGATTTTGATTTGCGCTGCGCATCAGCAAAATACGCGACTACAAATACACGAGTTCAAAATTTCAAAGGATGACAAAAAAAAACTTTTTTTAAAAATTTTTCGAAAAAGAAAAAGGAACAAAAACGTTTAATTCTATCTCTTTCTTTCTCTTTCTTTTCTCTTCTTCCGCACACCTCCCCGCTATCCCCCGCTCTTTTTCTTTATTATACTTCTCTCTCTCTCTCTCTATTTTCTTGTCTCGTCGACTTTTTAATTTCAAAAAAAAAAAATTACTAAAAACTAATTATTATCATCGTAAAATAATAATGTTATAACGTATTGATACTGTCTCTCTCTATCTCAACAAAAATAAATCCATCCCCCTTTATCATCATCTTCTATCTGTGTGTCATCGCGAAACAAAACCAAAAAAAAATCCAACGTCCACCCTAATAATCTCGATCATCGTCCATCCTCCAGCGAGTCGCTCGCCGAAACTCGCGGACATATTTCCGGACGACTGTCTGTCGAGCAAGCCCGCGCCCCTGGCCGGCAGTCTGCCGCACTCGGTGAGCTCGCCGGATCTCGCGCTGTCGCCCGTCGTCGCGAACGTCCTGCCGATCATCAACGTCGTCGAGGAACCTGCTGCACCTCCAGCGGCGCCGAACAAAACTACGACTACTACTACCACTCCCGTCGCGATACCAGCTCCTCTGATAACCCTGCACAACACCCCGCTAGCTTCGCCCGGCACGATAGCTACCGCCACCGCCGCCGCAGCAGCCGCAGCAGCAGCCGCCTCCTCCGACGTTATCGATTTTTCGCTGGCTGCCGCTAACGTCGTGGCTACTAATAATCGCAGTAACGCAGCAGCAGCGGCATCATCGCAAAAGATCGTCGCGGTTAACGACAACGGCCAATCGACGAGCCTTAGCAGCAGTAGTAATAACGCTAGATCGCAGATGCTACAGCTTCCCGGCAGTAACGCTTGCTACGTAGTGAAGAAGTACGGCCGCTCGCACTCGGCGATGACGCTGCCCGTGATCGAGATCAGCGGTGAGTCCACCCCGCCGCGAACGCCCGTCTCGCTCTTGTCCCGTCCGACGACGACGACGACCAACCAAGACGACGACGACGACGATAACAATTGCTTTAACAACGACGACGAGCTGCAGCTGCTACTCGACGACGAGACCAGCGGCGATTTTCTCCTGCCGCCCGACAAGCGTCGGCTGCTGCTGCTGCGCTCGTCGTCGTCCTCGCCGCTGCAGCGTCGGCATCGACACCACCATCATCATCATCATCATCATTATCACTACCACTACCATCACCACTACTGTCAACAAAATTTCGCGCAGACGACTGCTGCATCGCGTCAGCAGCGACACTCCCTCAGCTCGAATCAGCTCGAGATCGTGACCGAGGCCCTGCTGGAGAAACGCTCGCGCTCTCCATCCCCGGCCGCGGCCGATCGCTGCAACTGCTACAACTGCAACGTGTCCGAGCTCATAATGCAGAGCAGCGATCTGTCGCCCGCGGAGCGCTCCAACTTTCGCACCTACTTCTCGCGCTCGCTCTCCCACAAATTTTCCAACTGCTCGTGCTACGCCGGCTCACCTATCAATTATCATCATCGTCGTCGTCATTCTCGCTCTCCTCGCAATCCTGCTGCTGCCAGCGCCGACGCGTCGAGCAGCGCCTCGTCCTACGACGCCGCGAGTCCGAGCAGCAGCAGTCCGCCGACGCCCGAGAACGGACTCGTGACTACTACTACTACCAATTACGCGATGAAATTGACAAGATCGAACTCGTGTCCGGACTCTCTGTTAAAATTCGCGACATTTGAAGAAGCCGTCGTCGGTAAAAGACGACGCCACGACTCGCTGGACTCCGTGCTCTCGTCCTCCTCGTCCTGCTCCCTTCCATCCTGCGCCACGAAGCTGCATCCGAGCTGCTCGCTAGACTGCCTCAGGACGACGCCCATTGGCCACAATTATATTAATAATAATAATACTACTTTTAATAATGGCGCGTCCATGTATTTGCACGACAATTATCGTTACAAGAATTGCTGTTGTTGTTGTTGTTGTTGTTGTTCTTACTGCTGCTGGGGCTGTTGTTGCTGCTGTCTCAATTACTCGGACGTCGATCAGAATGACGTCGACGAACAGCAGCAGCAGCAGCAACAGTCGTCCAGCACCGCCGTCACCGCGTGGCTGGAATCTCATTCCAAATGTCAGCCGAGACGATCCCTGTCCGGGTCCGGCTGTTGTGTAAGAGCGAAATTTGATTTGGAATTAGATCCCAGGCACAAGTTCATCAACGCTAACTACCATCACCATCATCATCATCACAACCACAAGAACCGTAACCCGCACCATCATCACCATCATCAACATTGTCCAGTCTGTATAAATAATCCGCCACCGCAGCCGCAGCAAAGCACTAATAACTACGTCGCTGCTATTAACCAATCGTCCCACAACAACCAACACCAACACCACCACCATCATCATCATCATCATAATAAACATCATCATCATCAACATCACCATCATCACTGTCCCTCCGCCCAGCTGCGCAACAAGCTCCAGCAGCAAAGATCCTTCTCGTCCCCAGACACGCGACCTTCGATCATTCAACCTGACCCTACTACCTGTAACACAGCAAGGCGCCACCGTCACAGTATCTCCGGACAGATGAGTTATTTCAAACTGTTGGGCTACAACGTGAGCAAGAAGCTCACCGGCTCCGCGAACAGCCTCTTCAGCACGGCGGTGATCAGCGGCTCGTCGAGCGCGCCCAATCTCAAGGACATGGTGCCGCCTCACGCCTCGGCCGTTGCAGGTAAATCGGCGCTTACTACTTTTTTCCCCTTTGAGCCTTTTTTATTCAATATATATGTATCGTACGCGCAGCTATCGAAGGATTCGGAGGAGTGCCGCCCATCAGGCCGCTGGAGACGCTCCACAACGCCCTGTCGCTTCGCCAGCTCGACGTATTTCTCGAGATGATGACGGGGGCGCCGCTGTTTCGCACGCCGGCCTCGTCGCCGCCCAAGTCGTCGCCCATCGGGCCCGGACCGAACGGGACTGCGGCAGCGGCTGCGTCGTCGACGGCCGCTGGAGGAGGAGCAGGAGGACACCATCAGAATCTTGGCATCGAAGCGGCTAGGTAAAACAAAATGACGCGCGCCCGATTTATTTGTGCAACGACAGCAGCTTTTTTTTATACAGCTTGGTGATGATGTAATACTTTAGACGCACTTGAACGCTGAGAGTACACGCTTTGAATAGTCATCTATTATTTTTCATTTATCTTTTTTTTTTCAATGATATAACGTATATTAGGCACTGCTTTTTAAACCAATATAAATTAACCTTTTTTTCTATTGCCATTGATTTCAATAATCTTGTGCTATATAAATTGATATGATGAAATAAATATTAGAAAAAACCTCGAGCTTTGTGCAGGTTCAATGGAATATCAAACATTAAAAGAAAAGTAATCAATGCCAAATTTTATTCAAAGTACTTTTACATGCCATTTTCGTTGAAAATGTATGTATTAGTAATAATTTTTTTACGTAAACTGCAAAATGTATGCATAGAAATTCAATCGCATACTTTATTTTACATCGAAAAATGAACGAAAACGATTTAATACTATGCTCAAGTTTAAATATATGCTCTGAAAAAATCATAAAAATTCGATCCACGCGTAGCGCCTGCATCTACCGCTAGATGGCGAGTAAATCTGCAAGTGGCAAAATCAAAATGATTGTATAAGTGAAAGCCCGGTTTTGAAAAACCGACTTCTTTTCTGATGAAATAAGTGAATAATAATTTCATTAAATTTAAATTATCCAATTTAATTGAATTAAAGTTTCACATTTACACAAATGAATCTATTATTGTGTAAAATAATTAAGATTAAAATAATCCGAATTCAGTTGAAAGATTTTGCATTAAATTTAACGTGACGATTCACGACGAAATCTTTAAATTTAATTCAAATCACGTTCATTTAAATGCTTTTACACGAAGTTAAATTTAAATAAGTAAAGGGAAAAAACTTGCTCCACATTAATTTTCATGTAAATATTGTTAATAATGTACACATTGCAACGAGCAGACCTGTTTTTCCCTGCAGGAACTGGATGGTATTAAAAAAGAAGAAAATTGAAAAGAACTAACAGCTGATTAAAAACGATTTTTCCCTTCTCGTCAGGTTGTTTTGTTCCGTTTGGATAAGGATCAAGGAAATGTTTTCCCCGTCGGCTTTTATTAAAATCTTAAACTTATTTATCAGTGCAGGCAATTCGCTCAAACGGTACTTTTGCTTGTGTGACACTTTGTGTTTTTTTCTTTACTTGGCATTTTTATCTACGTGTGATTTGGCTTTACCCTCTTTTATTGTTACTTTGTTTTTTACGATTCATCAGCTCCTCCTCGAAAAAAATGCACACCCGCATACAGTGTACAAAAATTGTAAAAACGTCTTCTCATTCTTCAGCTCTGTACAAATCGTAAGCCATACATTACATTATATATCGTTTTGAAAACATGATAACCGTGAGTTTTGTGTACAATTAAAATCGAAACTCTTCATCCATTCCCGCCCCTATCTTTCTCTCTATCGCCCAAAATATTAATTCGTTCTTCGAACATCGAACAGATACATCACGCCCAATCCGATCAATTGCAAGGGCAACGGTGCGGCCGGCGGCAGCAGTCACGAGGCCGAGCTGATAGCCGATCTGAAGTTCCAAGCGTCGCCGACGAGCCCTAACAGTAAGTCAGAAGTCGCGCGAAAACAACAACAGCAACGTAAGTACGCCAACGAAACTGACGCGAAAATTGTGAAATCACCTGCCGCAGGCACAGGTTGGAGCAGCGAGCCGGCCTCGTTCCTGTCATCCGAGCCGTCGTCACCGGCGCCGACCTCGGCGGGCGAGTGCAGCATGTCTATGAGCTTGGTCAGTAACGACGGGTGAGGGCCTTAATCAAGTTTTTAATTCTTCATACCGGAGCGCACACGTACTTGATCTTCATACTTAATTTTTTTTTAATTTACTCGCCAGGCAAAAATATACGTCGAATCTCGACATAGACTTCGACGACTTCTGCGCGAACATCGAGCAGCAGCAGCAGCAACAGCAGCAGCAGCAGCATCAGCTTCTGCAGCAGGAGGCTCTGCGCGAGAGTCGCGGCAGCGTCTCGTACACGGACTACTACAGCAACGAGGATGGCCAGATCAGGCAGAGGGCGGCCTTGGGCGGCGACAACTGCTTCCCCGTGTACGTGAAGCCGCCGAGCTCTTCCGACGGCGACGCCAGTCCGACCGCCGAGGTCGACGAGGCCGAGGAGGAAGAGGAGGAGGAGGACAACAACCTCACCATCAAGCAGGAGGACGCCGAGCGACAGAAGAAGCAGGACGTGCAGCTGATCTTCGAGCAGAAGCAGAGCCAAGAGGCGGCCAAAGCCGGCAGTAGTTATAAGAAAATTGGCAGGTTGGTTCAGACATTTTTTTTATGTCTGGGTCGTAAATGAATGTATTTTTAACGATCGATCGCTTTGCACAGGTTCCTGGTCGAGAGTAGAAATCCCAACGAGATGCTCAGCTCGAGTCTGGCCTCCGCGGATAGCAAAGGCACGCCGTTGCCTACGACGGGCGGCGGCGGCGGCGGCGGCGGCAGCAGCTCGGACCCGAAGAAAAATCTGCTCCGCTCGCAGAGCGTCTACACGCCCAAGTCAATATTGTCGAGCGGCGGCGCCAAATCGGCGACCTCGCTGCAGAAGCAGTCCTCGCTGTCCATGTCCGCGAACGTCCAATTTCCGTCTGACCAAGAGCAGCAGCAGCAGCAGCAGCAGCCACAGCCACAGTTGACACTCGCGAGCAGTATCACTGACAAGGCTCACGTGACGTTCGGTTTCGACGTCGCGCAGAATAAACAAAACTGAATGTAATTCGTTATTATCAGCGTTTGGCGCTATTTTCTTTCGTTTTTCTATGGCCTGCAGGAATCTTATGTAATATCGGAGAGGCGTGATTTATATAGATATACATTTTTCCATTTATAAATAATTGCCTTGATCCTATACACCCCCCTCGCGAAGCAGTAGTAGAGAGCAGCAGTGTTTACTTTCAACGATGAACTCTTCTTTTTTTTTTGTTACGATCGTAATTTTTATACGTATACATGATGAAGATGATCAAGTAGGTTTTACAGAGATCGATTGTATTTTTTTACCACGTTGATACCATTATAATAATAGAGTAAAATGTTTATGATGAACGTGCGCGCCTGGTGATCCGACCAGTTATTGTTCACGATTGTTTACACAGAAATTTTTGCTTTGGCATTGTACGTTAAATTTTTATTTATTTATCATGATTGTAGTGTTGCCCCCCCCCCTCTTTTTTTTGTATTTACTTCCTCGAGAAAGAGAGTACATTTTTTGTGTATTCGACTTAAAAGTCTATTTTTATAATCATTGATGTATTAATTGTACGGTACCTGACTAAAGTGCTCGGCGGAGCGCTCGAAGCAAAATGTGGATTCAAAAAGTACTTACATACGTAAAGAAAAAAAAAATTTAAACAAAACAACAAATATCAAATTGAAATATTTTACGATTGATGATTTACCAGAATATATGTAAAAAAATATGTGTAAAAAAAAATAGTTGTTAATGTGCAAAGAATAGAGCGCTTTTGTATAGTTGCACATTTTTAACGCGTGTCCATATAGGTCAAATGAATTTGTATAACGATGTTATTTGCCGCGAATCTTTTTCTTTCGCGGTCGATCAAAAACAAAAAATTGATTATATTGCGATTCACGTGAAATTTTATTTATATCGTTTAAATAACGTTTTTCCGTGACGATAGTCGTTCGGTGTCAAGGTTCAATATTATATATGATGTAAAATGCAAATGCAGTCCACTTTGATGTCGTATTATTATTGTTATATTACATCGTGTGAGAAATAATTCTAACGAATGTAAACCATGTATATCGCGTGAAACGAATTGTAAACGAATGAAACGCTTTTCCGTTGAAAAATGAAACAAAAATTATAAATGAAAAAAATAATTGTTAATTTAATGAATTGTAGAAATATAAAAAGAAAAAGAGAAAATTAATAATAAATAATCATATATTACAAAAACTATCATTATTATTCGATGCACCGATCGCCTCGACCGCAATTAGTATCGATCGAGATTTTCACCCTATAGTTCTTACAACCACCTAGGCGTGCAAAAATAACAATTAGCCCCGTGTATGATACACGGACAAAAATATGTATTTTCGAACAAAAGGCGGCAACACAACAACGACACAACTGGCCCTCGGCGTCGTAGTTTAGTAGTAAGGTGCTTATCACACCCCATATTTCAGCCGAGCAGCTTCATTGACTTATCGCTTTATAATAACTGCTATGGTATACGGGGCACGGAGAATCTGTTTTCTCTCTCTCTCTCTAGGTCTCGACGCTTACACCGTAACAAATTCGGCTAATAAGTGCGAACCCCCCCCCCTCAGCTCGCAGAGTTAAACTATTGCCATTGTGTCATATATACGATGCGGACGCGAGGGGAGCCGTTCGTGTTGCTGCACGTGCGCATATTTAGCGCCCCGCGCGCGAGACACAGAGAGATTCACTTTGTTGCGTCGAAGCGTGTCAGGGATGGGCACGATATCATTTTTGATTTTCCCCGAATTCACGAAAATCTGGCTAATAATGTAATATCGGGGAATTGATCGGATATCGAGCGACGACGCGACGCTGCAGGTGTTGATTCGTACAGACAGGGATTTGGGATTTGCGTCGAGTTAGGCTACGTAAGCTCGTTGATTTTTTGACATCTTTTGCCTTATTACTGCACCAGATTCGAGTATTATATTTGCCGAGTATACTTGTGATTTTTTTGTTCTACATACGTTCCGAACCCGTCGCGTTTACAAGAAGCGCCGAAAAGCAGAAGCAGAGTCGGTTCTCTCTCTCAACTCCGAACTCCGAGGGCAGCAGAGCTCGCGGGGGCTGTATTATTATATATATATATATATACGCAGACGCGCAAGCTGCGCATTGATCCATAGCGTCAGCTTGCAGTTATTACTTTATACCTCGTCCACTGCTGTATAGATATAGATATTTTACAGAGGTTCATATATATACCAACGAGAGATGCGTATATGGATTTATACAAAGGCACCTACACACAAGCGTTCGAGTGTATTACGGTAAACGAGAGAGACTTTAGAGGATGAATTTTCTCTCGAATGAGTTAAAAACTTACGACTCAGAGATAATTACTGACGTACGCGTTTTATGAAATAATTCTTCGAGCCTCGTCTCCACGCCCTCGGAGCGTGAAATCGCGCATTTTAGGGAAACCCGACCGCATCGATTAAAAAAAAAAGAAGAAAGAAGAGATACGGAGCTAGACGTTCTTTTCATCGTCGCGACCCAAAACGTCAAACGTCATATTACGACTCGGTATGCTATACGGCACAAGTGAAAATCGGGGGCGACGTATACACTTTAGTAATAAGCGTTTCATATATTAATAATTTTATGCACCCCCTTTGTCGTCCCCCGCGTCACAGTTTACGTATACTATACCTTACGTATATACAGAAGCGCAAACAGCGCGCGCGCGAGATTCCGATTCGACGCGCGTTAAAAATTGCTCCGAACTGCGTATGCGTGTGTGTGGTTGCACGTCAAGTGACTCGGCTAATATGTATTTGATTAATTTCGCCTGTTGTCGCGAGGGATGTGTGCCGCCGGTGCAGCAGCACAACCAACCCCCCCAGCGAATCGAGAATAGAGAGGGGAAGAGAGTCTCTTGGCTTCGGCTTTTGCGGTGAAGACAATATTATATGGATAGGTCAAGCAGCAGCGGAGTTCGTCGTGTCGTTGTTGTATACTTAGCGGCACGAGGCTACGCGTGCCGCGCATCATACCGACTTCCGGATCCTTTTCACGAGTGCCGGAAATGATTTTATCGAGGGATGAGCTTATCCTTGGCTGGGCGAGAGTATTCTATAATCGTATATAATTTTTAATTAAGAATAAGCGAGTAAGACGAATTTTTTTTCGTCTGCGAGCGTGTGACTCGAGCTCAATCGTATGCAAAGTTTACAACGTCGTTGATCGGTGTTGTATGTGTCACTTATCAATCGCATATAATTTTGTTTCAACTGTAATAAAGATAAAGGGAAAAAAGAAGTGAAAGTATATGGTATTCGAAGAAAAAAAAAGAAATACACATGCTTATACGGCGCTCACGAGAAACATTTTAAAAAATTGATAACACGATTCGTGACTTATACTGTTTTAACGACATTATTAAACGGATCATCATGACGAGAAGAAAAACTTTTAGTTTTAGTTTTTCTCCTCGTCATTTTTCATCATCATCGCGTCATAATCACCTAATTTAATTTCGATTAAATATCTTCTTCTTCTTTTCTTTATCTGTACTTCACCTGCACGATCGTGTCTTACACCTGTATAATTGCATGTGTATACAGCGGCGATAATAATACTTACAACTCAATTATTTATAATCTCGTCATATTCGTCAAACATCTCTCGACGCATCCAATTTTACAACGCCAGACCCCGCGCGATGATGTAACAATTTTTTTTATTTTACCTAAAGAATTTCCAAATGCGCTAAAAAATTTTATTCAAAAATTAAACTATCTCACTTTTGCGAAGGACATAAGCGTACATGATATGATACTGAGCGACTGGAACGATCATTATTATAGCGTGCCGTATAGGCGACACCCTCGATTCTTCGAGCCAATGGCGGAGCTCGGTCGTTTGCGTTCCACCCTTGTACCGACCAATGAGAAGATGTCACTCATACGTACACAGATGAATTCGAGATAAATAAATCGAGACTTTTTGGGTATTGTTTGATTATTTTTTTTTATTGTTATTATTTTTCTGTGCAGCTTATGTACTGCTGCGAGTTGAAAATGATTTTTAAATGAAAAAATTTTAAATTCAACAATAGCTTTCAGTCAACTTTTTTTTTCAATCCTACAATGTTTTCACTCACAAATCAATGTTTATAAGATAAAACGACCAATACGTAATCTATCCAAGCATATAGAAATTACTAGTACATAGCCACGCGAGAAGCTGAGCCTATAAATTACGCCTAAGCTTATATTAATTTCGAAAGCCCAAAGTGTCATAACACACACACGTAGGGGTAGTTTCGAAAAACTAATCATACACACATATTACATTATACACAATAACAGGCGTAAAGACTCGAAACGCTTATACAGATATTACATTACGACGCAAGGGGTTGAGTATTAAATCGCTCGAGCGTCCCCGAAACTTCTCGGGGGTGGATGGGGGAGGCGTGTCCGTATCACATACACACATATACACCGGCGCAGCAGCACACCGAGATTTCTGATCCTGTACACATGTACGCGACGACGACGACGACGATTAGCCAGCGAGACAGAGAGAAGAGAGAAGAGAGGCTTTCGAGCCAGTGCAAAAATCTTGTCACAACAATCGAGTTTCGAGCTTGCACGAGGCCGCATCGTCGAGCCAGACCTGCTCTTTCGCGTGTTTATGGCTTCGGCGGTAAACAGTGACAAAATATCGCTCGTGAGTGTGTGCTCTAACGTTGTTCGTGATTAGTGGGTTTTTTGGCCCGATGTCTCGCGTCTCTTCGATTCTTGTATTTGCGAAAGGTACAAAGTGTGTTTGCGCGAGTTATATATCGTAGAAAGAAAGTGAGGGAGTGAGTGAGTGAGTGAGGCAGAGCGATAGACGAGTGCAAGGCGGGATATGAGCTACCCCGAGTCGCACTGGGAGATCAACGGTAATCATAATCCAGTAAGTTTATTTACTTTTCTAAGTCTACAACGACATTTTTTGTTCCGCGAACGTGCATATTGTGGTGAAAATTCTCAATTTAAAAAAATAGAGTACATAACGTCAAGTCGTCGCGCCATTCGTAATACGTACATAAATTTCGCTAATTGTTACATAAACGCCGCGTCTCTCTGCTCGTTGTGCATATATTTATGTATTAATAAAAAAATCAACGCAGAACGCTCAACGACGACATTTCTCGTTTCCCGCGTGCGTCAATTAACGCCTCATATTTACACCTTTTTTTTTTTATTATAAAAATTAGGTGATAACGTCGAGCGCGGAGATGACGCAGTACGTCGGCAGCGAGATACCGAATTATCACCCGATGTGGGACAGTCCCGTGCTGTATCCGACGGCGGCACCACCGCAGCACCAGCCTCCGCAATTGCCACCCACGCACCCGCACAATCTCGGCGGCGGAGGTGGCGGTGATCACGGCATCTACCGTCAGCCCTGCGCCCTCCTTCATCAGAGGTCGGTGTACATATATACTGACTCGTCATCCCCTTCAAGGGACGAGAAAAAAAATTGTATTTATACTTTGTTGTTTCTTTATCCCGCAGTCGTTACTCGCAAAACGGACGCTCGACGAACGGCAGCAGCAGCAGCAGCGGCGGCAGTGGCAGCGGCGGCGGTGGAGGAGGTTCGCTGAGCACGAGCTCGAAGAAGCCGAGGCGACGCGTAGCCACCGTGTCGCAGAGACGAGCCGCCAACATTCGCGAGAGGAGGCGCATGTTCAATCTCAACGAGGCTTTCGACAAACTACGACGCAAGGTCTTACCATCGATAAATGGAGCTTTTATAATTATCGCGTGTGCTTCTACTTGAATTTCTAATCCCTTTTATTTATTTTTTTTCTCGCAGGTGCCGACGTTCGCCTACGAGAAGCGACTGTCGCGCATCGAGACGCTTCGGCTGGCCATCACGTACATAGCCTTCATGGGCGAGCTGCTGGGCATCGAGCCGCCCAATCCCAAGACCGAGTACATACCCAGGGATTACTATCTGCCCAATAGTTAAGCGCTCGATCCGATGTAATATTGGTTTCGGAAAAAAGAAAAAAAAAATTCGAGCGAACAACTCGAGACTTGTAAATAATCGTCGTTTGTACACATAACGCGCGATCTATATAATTTTTAGAGCTAAACGTAAACCGTGTATCTAACGTTCAAGATAGCTATATGTAATACTTGTAAATTATGAATAAAAATTACTGTATAACGAAAAAACTCGTATACGAATTAAGAGCATCGATGCGTAACGCACATGATAGTCGTATAATTACATTATCATCGAATGCAATCAAGCTAATCTCTAAAACGAGAGATCGTGGTAATTGATAACGCGCGTATTATATGCGTATACTTTGAAATGTCAAAATAAAAGATCGTGTATATACGCCCGCTCGTGTTGTATTTTTATTTGTGTATCATAAGCATGAGATGCCGCTTTTTTTTCTAAGTTTTTTCTTCTCTATTAATTGCCTATTTATTTGTACACTTTCACAACGTATACCTCGCTAACGTGTCCGACGGGGAAAAATCCCAGACTCTGTAACGCGCGATGACACGTGACGCGAAAATCGAGTATTCACAGGAAAAGACAGATGCTTATTCTACAATTATTTACATATATTTACAATCGTCAACCACCACGAGGCGCGAGAAAAGAAAATCCTCACGCCATGACGGACTTCGGAGCCAACTTTTCCACCAGCATGGGATCATCGTCCTCGATTTTGTCCGTTGTCGGCTCGAGGCTCTGCGGCACGACGAGATATCGCTTCGAGCGCTTTCTCTGGAAGTCGGGCGAGTTCCAGGGCTGCAGCTCGCCGCTGCCCAGCAGCAGATAGACGAGATTGGTGGCGACGCCGACGGCGCATATGATCCAGAAGACGAGCTGCCACTCGCTCAGGGTCTGATTGACGGCGACGAGGCCGACCAGATAGGGACCGCCGATGCCGCACAGGCCTGCCGGACACGAACACGCATTTTTTTATTTTATTTATTATAATAAATTCGCGATGTTACGGGGCAACGATGATTATTATATATCTCTTACCTGCCAAGCCGTGACTGATGGCCGTGACGGTGCCCGCGTAATTCGGGCTCAGATCCAGGGTGTTGGCGCGTATACCCGGGAAGCTCGCGCCCACCGTGAACGTGCCGACGAACGACAGCACGAAGTACTGCAGCTTGTCGCAGGCCACGTAGGCCGACCACACGGACAGAAATCCGTGCACCGTTAGCGCGATGCTGGTCATCAATTTTCGCACGTTCGTCACCGACATCCAGTTATGGACTATCAACTGATCCGACAGCCAGGAGAAGAGCAGCGCCGAGGTGGTCATGCAGACGTTGGCACCGATGAACAGCCAGGCGTTCTCCTCGTCCGTCATCTTGAGCACGTTCATGGTGTACTTGGGCAGATCGCTGAGGATCGTGTAGGCGCCCCAGTCCTTGCCGCAGGTCACCGCGACGAGGGCCCAGAACGGAGCCGAGGTCAGCAGGTGGCGCCAGGGCACGGGCGGCGCGTCCCGATGTGTGCACTCGGCCAGCTGGGCGCCGAGTCTGGACTGCTCCTCGCGCCCGATGAACGGATGCTCGCGCGGACTGTTGTAGCAGAGCGCGGCGAACAGGCCGAACCAGAGACAGCTCGCGCCGCCGAAGATATAGTAGACGCCGCGCCAGCCCCAGTCCGAGGCGACGATGGGCCCGAGACCGAGACAGATGAGGCCGACGCCGAAGGTGCCCCCGACGAAGATCAAGCCGGTGATGCGCGAGCGCTCCTCCCGCGGGACCCACTGCGACATCATGACCGAGAGGGCGGGCTGGGTGAGGCCCTCGAACAGGCCCATGAGGATGCGCAGCACTATGAGAGCTCGGGCGCCACCCCAGTCGATGGTCCAGGGCGTCGCCACGGTGCAGACACCGGCGCCGAGCATACCCAGGCCGAGGACGTACTTGCCGCCGAATCGCTCGGCGAGCACGCCACCCGGCACGTGACTGAGCACGTAGCCCCAGTAGAACGAGCCGAGGATGACGCCCTGGGTGAGCTCGTCCCAGTCGTACGTCTCGTCCGCGACTTCCACCAGCTTGACGTTGGTGGTAGTGTAATTATTAACCGTGATGGGTTTGACCCGTTCGGGCGTCGGGCAGACGTCGTCCTCGAACTCGACGGCGTGCACGTGGCGTGGCACCATCTTGGGTATGGTGAGCGGCAGGGTCATGCGCATGGCCATCATGCAGGCCACGGCGAAGAAGGCCGCCACCGTGAAGATCCATTTCTGCGAGAGGCGGCCGCCTGTTGTATGCCCGTGGCAGAGAGAGAGATCGAGAGAGAGAAAATTGTTTTATTTCATAATTCTTTGTATATTGTTGACATAGACGATGTATTGTATAGATAAATGGATTTCCCAAGAATTTGTGTGCGATTGAAATAATTTGTACATTGGCAATTGGATTAAGTTTGCTTTGTTCTAACTCGTTGATGTGTAAACTTTTTGCGTTGTATTGAAATAGAATAAATAGAAGATTGAATTTTATTTTACTTTAGACAAATGATTTTTTTCAAAATTGTAATATATTTGACGATCGTTTCATTTTAAAATATTTCATGCACAAATCCCTTTAATTTGAATTATGTACTTTATTTTGTTACAATGATAAAGAAAAAAAAAGAAAATCATGTACTCACAGCAGGTTCGATCTTCCACAGGCATTTTGTGAAAAGTTTGAAAAATCAAAAAAAAGCGTAAAATAATCCGCACTATCACTGGTCACGAAATATAATCAATTCACCATACGAAATCTGCGTTTGCCATCTATCACAAAACTGCCTACCTACACACGACTACTGTAAAACTGTGCTCTATTATCGGCGCTACTCGCGACACGATCGATACGCATCTCGGGACTGTAATGCGCGCAAGTTTGAAAACGGCGTCAAAGTTATATTACATTTTATTCGTGCGCGTATATATATATGGCGTCGAACCGCGTGCTTATGTTGTAACTTATTATCGTTTGCCTATCGCACCAATCCGAATGGTAGCTTTGGTTTTGTTTTGATCTTGTGTTTTTTTTTATCTATACGTGTGTGTAAAGCTTTTCGATTTTAACGAAGATAAAGAATCGGATTCTCTTCGGTGTGTGTGTGTGTATGTAATTTTTTCCCAAAAATGAATGAGCATAATATACAAATATCCGATCGCGCGAATTCAGGGAATACACGCCGATACAGCCGCGTGCAGCTTTTCAAATTGTTGCTCGAACGAGCGCAAGACTAATTATAAAAGTTGATAATCGAATTATATGCGTGTCACGGCACGCGATCTCGCGTATATTTATAGTTGCGGAAGTGACCGCCGGCGGTACACCACCGAGCGCGTCTTTAATTTTACATTATACATAATAACGATGAAAAAAAAATATATACAATCGATATAGACGTGATGATAGTCGTGCACCGAGTGATAATTATAACGCTAATAGAGTGAATTTTTTTTTTTTTAATCGAGATAACGAAAAGTTCGAATCATGTCGCGAACGAAAGTCGCCGCACCATCGTGTCATCGCGCGTCGGGTTTTCCATTTCACGCCTGATTCCGTGAGGTTGCAATGTAATTATTGACACAATCGAGACCCGCAATTCGACTGCAGACGATTATTGAATAAGTCGAATTGTAGCGCCAATTTTGTGGATCGAGTACAAACGATACCGCCAAGAAGTATATGGAAATCTATGAATGCGCTCGAAGTGCATTACAAAATCGTGTACTGAGATTATCGAGGGATTAAGTGAAAATCCGCGTATTGCAGAAATCATTCATTCGTATCTTCATCGCTGTTTTACATTTAATGTACGAAACAATGAGAGCGGCCTTCTAAACTTCAAGGATCGTCCTTAGGATACCGAAAATCGAGCGAACTTTGCCCCCCTGCGGCGATTTTTCGCGCCTGGCCAAAAGTTTGGCCGTGTCGACGAGACGGCCGTCGGCAAAGCTGCATGCCACGACGCCGACGCGATTCGCTTGCATAGATAAAGCAGCGACGATACAGTCACCCGCGAGGCTCTCCGATGGAAAAATTTCAGCGCGCTACCGAGATATACTCGTCGAGTTATATCTTGGTTATCACAGTTGGGAAGCTTCCGAGCTTTACCGATCGTCAGCAATAATGCAGCGTTGGTAAATAATTTAATTCATAAAATCGACGAATCCAGTAAATGTGTAAGTGAAAGAATTGATGCAGATGTTATTATTAGTCGCGAAGAAAATTCTACGCGAATAGCAGTTCTGTCTATGTAAATTTTTTCCATAGTCAAAAGTAAAAGCCATGAAAATTTTTTTTAAATTTATCAAACATGAAATCCATAACGCTTCTATCTCTCTGAGTCCTGATAGGACGCAAGAATCCTTTATGTATGCAGTGGAATTGAAAGTTGCAGAAACCACAAAAAATACTGCAATTTGTCTTTTGATCTTAATTGATAGGATTGTCTTTTTTACATAAAAACATTTTTATTGCATTGTAGGCTTTCAAAAATTTGTAACAAAATTCTGAGATTTAAATTTTATCGGAGAATGATCTAAATTTGATCATTAAAAAACTAATGATGCAGATTAATAAGCGAAGTAATAACAGCTGTGTTGATACGTGAAGAAGGTATTTTGAACCAATGACGTTTTTTGTAGCTTTTAAACTGTGTTGTATATGACAGACTCACAAAAACTTGCATAAATTAGAGGTCCAATACAACACGGAGTAAAAAAGAAATTTTCGGACAGGTCCGGATTTAAACATGAATTGAAAAGGACAGAATAAGTCAGATCGATTGTCGACCTTTGCATCTATCCCTTCTCCAAGCTGATATGAGGTCCGAGTCAAGACTCAAGAGTCAGTACGAACACGCCATCTTCGACTTTTGATGGTGTCGGCGGCGGAATGATATTATTTAATTCACTAATTCCAATAATCAAAAAAGAAGATCTGACTGCCTTGGCCTATAAAGTAGCGGATGAACCACGCCTATATGGCCACAGCAAAAGCAGCAACAATGAATATATACATTTTTTATAACACATGTGTCCATTCACTCGATGTTATCGTGGTGAACTTGATGTCTGCCGGGAATTCGATTGTAAATACTTAGTTTTAAAAGACCAAATCGATTCCTCGAAGAAATCGTAGCTGAAATAAAATTTTAAATTATTTCAAATGTTGTAAGAATAATGTATAAACAAATAAATCAGTACTTAAATTATAAACAATATGATCATAAGCTATTTTGACCTCGTTCCTCGACAAACTGATCATGTCTATGGCCCAAACAAATTAGTTTGAATGTTGTCTTTCCCAATGAAACAATACATAATACCAAAAGATAAATTTTATTCATTCAATAAACTAAGTAGAAAGATTCATCGTTTATTTTAGGCACCAAAATGGTTAAAACTGAGAAGGAACCGAAGGATATCGTTTCAAAAGATTACTCAAGTAAAAACGACGATGTTTTTTCAGACGACAAAAAATACGTTTGTGATATTTGTCAGGAGGCATTTACACTAGAATCAAGTATGACAACACACCGAGACACAATTCATAGTGAAAACAAAGATTTCGTATGTAACAAATGTGAAAAGACATTTCAGTTCCGAAGTCATTTAAGTAGACACCAAATATCGGTACACAAAAACTGCAAAGATTTCATATGTAACAAGTGTGAGAGAAAATTTGAAAATAAATCCACTTTACTCAAGCACAAAAAAATATTCCACGAAGTTTACAAAGATTATTTATGCGAAAAGTGCGCGAAGAGATTTGGAAATAAACGAAGTTTGCTCTTACATGTAAAGACAGTGCACAATAAGTGCGATAAGAAATTCGAACAAAATTTGAAATTGTTAAGACATCAAAGGACAGTGCACGACTGTCAAAAAAGTTCCACCTTAAAAGTCAACAATGGCTACTTATGTGACAGTTGCGGTAAGAAATTTAGAAATGAAACAAGTTTGGTCTTGCACATAACAACAGTCCATGAAGGTCAGAAAGATTACGCATGTGAAAAGTGCGAGAAGAAATATGGGTATAAACATCATTTACTTCAACACCAAAGTACATTCCACGAGGGTCGCAAAGATTACTCATGTGACAAATGCGAGAAGAAATTTGGACTAAAATCGAATTTGCTTGCTCACCAAAGGATAGTCCACGAAGGTCGTAAAGATTTCGCATGCGACAAGTGCGAGAAGAAATTTGGACAAAAATCGAAATTGAATAAACACCAAAAGACAGTACACGAAGGTCAAAAAAATTTCGAATGTAACAAGTGTGAGAAGAAATTCGGGGTAAAATCGTATTTGCGCGTCCACCAAAAGACAGTTCATGATGGTTGCAGAGATTTTGCATGCGATCAATGCGAGAAAAAATTTACACAAAAATCGAATTTACTTATCCACTTAAAGACGATACATGGAGGTCGCAAGGATTATGCATGCGACAAATGCGAGAAGAAGTTTGGAAAAAAATGGATTTTGCTTCAGCATCAAAAGACAGTTCATGAAGGTCGTAAGGATTACGCATGTGGCAAGTGTGCTAAGAAATTCACACAAAAACCGAGTTTACTCATGCATCTAAAGACGGTACACGAAGGTCGCAAAGATTACGCTTGTGATAATTGCGAGAAGAAATTTGGTAAAAAATCACATTTGCTTTTCCATCAAAAAACAGTACACGAAGGTCGTAAAGATTTTACATGTGACGAGTGTGAGACAAAATTTGGATTTAAATCGGCTTTGCTCGTACACCAAAAGACAGTTCATGAAGGTCACAAAGATTACGCATGCGATCAATGCGAGAAGAAATTTGGCCGAAAACCAGGTTTTCTCCGCCATCAAAAGACAGTTCACGAAGGTAGTAAAGATTACGCATGTGGCAAGTGTGCTAAGAAATTCACACAAAAACGGAGTTTACTCAATCACCAAAAAACAGTACCCGAAGGTCGCAAAGAGTACGCTTGTGATAATTTCGAGAAGAAATTTGGTATAAAATCACATTTGCTTTACCATAAAAAAACAGTACACGAAGGCCGGAAAGATTTTGCATGTGACGAGTGTGAGACAAAATTTGGATTTAAATCGGCTTTGCTCGTACACCAAAGGACAGTCCATCAAGGTCGTAAGGATTTTGCTTGAGACAAATGCAAGAAGAAATGACGATTGAAAATTGTAAATATGTCTGTACTTATACATGTGTTTTTCTAAAATGTCATTAAAAATTGTGGCAAAATAATTTAACGCTATCTTCATTTTGTGCATTCACAACGATCATTACACCTTTGTTAGCTGTCACCTTTGTTTGCTGTGTATTTTTGTATTAGACGAAATTTCCCATGCTGCTAATTACTATCTCTCTGTTAATTTCTGTAAGTCTTGTTTGGAGCTGTAAAGGGTCAAACTTTTGGTGGGATACTTGATTTTTGATAAACCTCACGGGAAGATATGCTGAACTGATTACACATCCACAAATGAACGATTTTGATGAACTTGCTGTCGTCTAAGAGAGACAAGATCGATAATGACAATCAGTTTCTACCGAAAAAACCAACGCCTGGTCTGCTCCGACCAGACTCGCCGAGGAGCCCCTCCGGTCTCACTTCGTCCCCCTCTGGGACCCCCGAACCTCCTCAATCAGTAATATCCAGGCTGTTTTCAGGCAGATA